CAGATGCTACATACCTCCTAGTCGGATGTCTCGGTGGTCTAGGCCGCAGTCTCACATCGTGGATGTTGAAGAGGGGTGCACAGAACTTTGCCTTCTTGTCACGATCAGGCACGGACTCTCGCCAGGCTGCTACCCTTGTTGACAGCCTCCGAGCCGCCGGCGCCAACGTGCAGGTATTCAGGGGCGATGCTAGTATCAAGGAAGACGTGGAGAAGGCCGTCAGCTCTATCCCTGCCGACCGCCCGATTCGCGGTGTTATCAACGCTGCCATGGTGTTACGAGTAAGTCACTTTCTATTACTACTTGAGATTTTATCACTAACATATCTACTTAGGATGGCATGTTCCACAACTTGACTTACGACAGCTGGGTAACCTCCGTCAAGCCCAAGGTTCTCGGAAGCTCCAACTTGCACGAGGTGACAAAGGACCTTGACCTAGACTTCTTCATCATGACCAGTTCAGTATCCGGTACCCTAGGTACCCCTGGTCAGAGCAACTATGCTGCCGGTAACGCCTACATGGATACCCTTGCCCGTCTCCGACACACTCAAGGCAAGCGTGCCGCTGCCATTGTCCTTCCCATGATTCTCGGTGTTGGTGTCGTTGCTGAGAATGCTGCCCTTGAGGACTCCCTCAAGCGCAAGGGTATGTACGGTGTCGACGAGGATGGTCTCCTTGACTCGTTTGAGGTCGCCATCGTCGAGCAGGGCAATCCCGAAGCTGTTGACTTCGACCACGTAGTTGTCGGACTTGACCCATCGCTTCTCGCCAAGGCTAAGTCTGAAGCTGAGGGTGATGTCGACGTCTTCTGGGCTGTCGACCCCCGATTCTCCACTCTGCTACACGCAATGGAGTCTGGAAGCAAGGGTGACGTTGGTGGAGGAGCAGACTCTATCCTTGCTAGAGTTAAGAACGCAGCATCCCCCGCAGAGGCTGTTGCGGCCGTCGAGGAACATTTCATTGCTAAGCTTTCGCGTATTCTCATGCTTGACTTGGAGGACTTTGAAGGAGAAGGCCGATCCGTCGCCAGCTTCGGTATCGACAGTATGATTGGTGCCGAGCTGAGGAACTGGATCTTCAAGGAGCTTGGCCTTGACATTGCTTTCCAGCAACTGTTGGGACCGTCACTTACCATCAAGGGCTTTGCTCAGCTGGTGGTTGCAAACCAGGGAATCGCGATTGAGTAAATTTCATATCTTACTCATTCCCTCCCACAATACAAAGAAAAAAAAATTAGAAAAGGATAGATTAGGTTTCTATTTGTTTTACGAATACTGTATATAGAACTTTACTGGGTGTCGTGAGTATGATTTACTTTGAAGATTAGAGTGTTAACTTTTAAGATAGCCAGATCAATACATGATGGCAACAAGAATCAGAAAGTCTTTCGCATGTCAATCAGTGATACTATCATTACCTAGGTACCTAAGGTATATTTACTACGCCATGGCTATGAAAGTACCTAGTTATCTCTTCACACGCTCAATTATTTTCAAAGTAAACACAAACTTGTAATGCCCGCAACAATCTTGCCAAGTTCACTCCGTTTAACCTATGATATTTGCCGTAGTCATGACTAAGATTTAATAAATGATGAAAAATCTTAATATGTAATCAAAGTCTTATTCGATTTGGTTGGTCCGATGTTGCTGACAGACTTTTCATACACCTTGCATTATCTATGCCTTAGGCACACACGGGAAACCGATAATATCACAAACTGATCTGCAACTTACATTCGAAGGATTGTGACTGCAAGTATGATTCTTAGTGCTCCAAACAAAGTTGCCAATAGTATTTGAAAGAAGACTTTCACGAGACGTTAGATTCAAATTTCCTATTAGTGGTTAGGAGCCTTCTCCGGACCACTTAGAGATATCTGAACAAAGGGGTTGCATGTGTATATCATATTTATCGTTCTAATTTGTTAGGTTCATAGCCCTTCGTACAATAACTGATTTCCGTCTACTGCTAGGTCGCATCGATGAGAGCGAAATTCGGTGCGGTGCGGTACTTCCCGGACCGACTATGATCGCATAATACTTCTAGGTAATCATCATCATCATCATCATCATCACCATCATCATCATCATCGTCATCATTGACAATTGACAACTGACAGGTGTTATGCCAAACCTGAGTCTAGTTCTCTACAGAATCATGTAATAATGAGTTGCCGGTGCTACGATTACAAGGGCAAACATCTCCGAATGATTACGCCTAAAGAGATTAAATAAATTGTATCGAAGGAAAGTTTATTGCTACGGCAAATTCATTACCATCACGGGAGATAAATACCGAAGGTTCGCCGATCAATCTATTAGTTTCGGGAACGCTGGGCCGTTGGCCGTATCCGACCGAAGACCGGCCCCCTTCCTCATTGCCTCCCCTCAGAATCGCGGGACTAACTCAAACAATGATGTCTTTCCAAGCGTTTCCAATCGGGAAGGGCGGCCGTTCCGGTGCAAAACTTGATCAACACACGGGAGCGCTATGCCAGCACCATTCTTAACATATATCGATAGATATTTCATTTACTTCATTCAACAAAAACATAGGATATAAGTTGATATAACTTAGGTAGTTCGTAAGAACCGCGTTCGAAAGTAATCGCGCTAGTCTTTTCTAACTGGATGAAATTATTTATTTTCTTGTAGATCCTACCTCTATATAAGTAAGGTTCCTCTTGGGGAGATTTGAACTAACTGATTGGCATAGAACAATATTCACTAATTGACCCCCTCCCCTTATCAACAACTCGACACACTGGTCTCAATACCTATCCTATATTGTCTGCTTTAGGTGGGGGCGTTTTGTCGTTGTGGGCAGCGTGTCTGATTGATTGGGCAGCATGGCTGGCGCGCGCGATCGCTCTTGGAGGGTGAATTCCGCGGAAGTCTTAGTCTAGAGAAGTATATTTCTCCAAGAGAAGCTCGACAAGCTGTTTCGTTCCTTATACGAAGAGACCAAGATCCAAGATACCAAGATCAGCTGACCAAGATACCAAGAACCAAATGGTGAGACCGCGCGTCGATTCTCCCCCTAATATTGGCCGTATCATGAGTCATGACAACATATGAATTTTTAGGCTTAGGAAGTCGACTCTAGATAGCCCCAGCCTAGTGTAGGATGTGTAGGATGAAAGGTGACTCGATTACGAGACCCTCATTTACCCTTCTTTACCCTTCATTAACCCCCCGCCACCCCACTTAGTACAAAGCTTCAGTGGGGCAGTGGGAGAACCTGCGGGGAGCTCTACCTTGGACCTTGGCCAGAAGATGGGTCTTAAAACGGTTACTCCAACGCGGCACGGGACGGCTCGCCCTGCAGGTACATTTGTACGATGAAAAATGACACTTGCCGTTTCCACGCCTCGGTTTAAAACAGTACGAAAAACGTCCATTTTATATGAAAAGTTCAACTTTTAAAATTATTAACTACCTTATATTACAATTAAATGATTAATTGTTCTAATTATAACTTACGCATAACATACAATAAAATAAAACGACAAGTAAATATGATATAAATTATATATATATCGATATAACGCTATAAGTTAACCTCGCGTTCGGCGTTATTTTTCCTCCTTCTCGGGATTGTAAACTGATCTTCGTAAGCCCGCAGATGCGCAGATGCGCAGGCGGCAGCGCAGCGTCTAAGGGTCTTACTCATCCATGCTTGTTAAACTTGCATGCATGAAGAGGTACATGAAAAGGGCGCAGGAAATCCATGGGAAGTCGTCGTAATCGTACAAGGGCATATCTCCCCCTCCCTCTGCCCTATCTGTACTATGTAGGTAGGTTAGGTACCTACCTAAGGTATGGACGTCGAAATAAACGGCGCACTCCACCAACACACACATAGTATATGGTATAGTAGTAACAATCCCTTTGGTGGATCTGCAACTTGTTTCGACGGCACTATCATGCTTATCTATCCCTCATGTCTGTCTGTCTGTCTGTCTGTCTGTCTGCCGCATATCCAATCCTACGTCATGAGCATCTGCAGGCTACAATCAAATCAACAGGCTCGCATTTTGCCAGGGCTACTTTAGACTGGACTAGACAAAATATAGGCCGCCGTGGACTGACTTACCCAATAGGGAGGTGGATCAATACTAGCCTCCGTGACATAGTTTACATGGACATGAATGTTTTAGGAACTATTATTCGTACATATACGCACGTAGCATATGTCCCTGGGCATGTAATGTAATGCTAGGTAATGTAATGTAATGCACGTATGTATAGAAGGACAGGGAAACTCGAGAACACGAAAGAGGAAAGCAGAATTACGTACCCCTGCGACACCGGAGTGGCGGAAGCAAACCTTAAGACCGTTAGCGACGACGGCGATACTGCTTAAGGGTTCGATGCTGCTGAGGAAGTGCATAATCTGTATCTACCTACCTTAACTTCCATAGTAGAAGTTGATTCTCTCTGTCTACCTCTCCCTCACTCCCTCTCTTTTATTTTCAATTTTTATTTAAATTGTCGTAACGTGGTATTTTATCCCCTGGGCTCTACCTGGAACAGGCTTCAATACGGCCGGCCATTAAGTCACTCAGGTATTGCATCATATTATATATTTATAGCTAGAGTGATAGGTACTTAGGCATGTAGATACATAGACATATTGATAGACGTGATAGACCATCACGATGCGTTATATCTACTCCAGTTAGCCGGAAGTTGCCGCGCCTCTGACTAGGATGATGAGGGAACTTCGCCTGCTGAATAATAGAGACGGTGATTAACACATGATTTACTGTTAAGACGTCCTAGATTATATTCAACCTCGGGGTTCCCATGATTACATCATGCTATAGAGTATCAAGCATGTGGCTTTTGCGATGGAGATAGGATGATCGTTGAAGGATTCATATTCCCTAATCCTAATGTATAGATCACGATCGAGATAGTCATCGCAGTATAGTGCATTTTATAGCAAATTTAATTCAGACCAATGATATACATCAATTATAACACGATATAATAGATTAAACTTTTTTCTATTTTTAGCCGCCGCATCTGAGAAACTCCGGCGACGATCTGTATATGCGCTTGTCTACATAAAATATGCTGCTCTAGCTAGGGCTTGCTTGGGCTGTTCAAACAGCCAAGCGGGTCTAAATTGCATGAAAACTCCCGAGGTGATGTTTCCCTCCTTTCTATGCTTAGCGCTGTATCCGTTATCCATGCTGCTGGCAGAGCGACACGGCCTTGACCCAAGTTGGGATGTGAATATCCTATACTCCTTCCTTGCAAAAATATTACAATGATGACTTCACCTGCATGTGTAAATACCTATCCTATACCTTGGTAGGGGAAAAAAAAAAAGGTCATATGTCACTAGGGTCATACCCGCTGGTCTCATCCCACTCTTGTAGCGCCGCCGCTATGTTTGTTGTACACCGATGCCAGTATCCATCTGACTCCTCAATATAGTCTAACGCGGCTCGGAGTAACCGTAAAGATGTCACTGCGCTGCTCGTACTTTCGCTCTTTAGTTGTGTGGAACCTTTGAGTTCGCGGCTGAGAGCCTTCATAGCCATCACTACAGGCCACGCGAGGAATGTGGCCTGTAGGTTGAGGATATCGCGGTCGAGCTGCTGACAGGGCCAGTTTAGACGCATAGTACTCGCAACTTTGTAGGCGGCAGCCATCGAGCGCTTCTGGCTTTCAGCAGCGGCTAAAATCGGATATCCCTGCTGCTCTACCAACTTGACAGCAACCTCGTGGAAAAAGATTTCAGTACCACGTAGGTTCATGTAAATGCTAAAAGCTATGGGATCCTCGCGGACTGATTTGGCGTTTAGATGCATATGTAGCATCGTAAAGCGCTCTTCTATTACTCTCACTAGATTGTAGTGACTATCCCACTGTGAATAGAAGAAAATGTCAGTATTTGCTTCATTAGATAAGAGACAATACCGAGTAGAATTTGAAAACATAGGCTGCATATTCGAGGCTTATAAGGAAACTGGAATTTAAAACTCGGATTGTTTGTAGTATATCCAGGGAAATAACTTACGAAACCATTTCTTGTTGATGCGTACTCTGCTAGTCGTCCATGGTCGAAACACTTAATAGCAAGCTCCATCATCAAAACGCAGCCTGCAAATGATGATAATTCGGGACAAGGATCAGCCGTTAAATTACCCAGATAAGGCATTTTGGTTGGGGTGAACTCGGACGTTAGTAAGCCGGGCGACGGGAGATAGATGCCAAATCCCTAATTCGTATGGTTAGTCGTCGATCCTGATCTTAGTATGAGCTGTGATTTGACATACATCGGCTGCACCCAGGTCACACTCCATCCCAGTACGCACGCGAACGAAGCCCTCAAATATGTACAAGCCCCAGAATGAACGTCTCCGTTCCTCCAAGAGCATGGGGTCGTCCGTGTGCGGGAGGTACAGTCCCATGTCCAAGCTTACATCGTCATGCTTGACATTTTGGTCCATTTGATGTAATCCCATCAATTTCGACATTCTCACCGCACGTCCCAGCGTCAGCCAGGCTCTCGTTAGTTTATGATCCATGATTTCGAATCTTATGATGAAGACGAGCGCCTGAAATAGGTTGAGATTTGCCGTGCCTCCTTCTGCTGCTTCTCGTTCACATTGCTCGGCATAGTTGCGAGCCATGGTATAGTACGTATTTTGTAAATGATGATATTGTAATGAGATGGTGCAGCCCATTAGGGCCACTGCATAACTAAGAGCACGGAATGCGGGTGAGTTTCCATTAGTGGAGAGCTCGGCAGTAAAACGTTCTTTGCTCAAAAAAGGCAGATAGTAATAAATAAAGTCAAAGTAGTTCTGATGTAACGCAGCCAAGTCCCATGCCGGTACTTCATCTTCATGGCTGGAAGATGGCATTATTTGAGGCGGGAAGGATATGCTAGGCGGTGTTAGGGCAGTCGGGCTCACGGTGGGCTCGAGGAGCGGGAGCGATAATGTTGTCCAGTCTAACGATAAACCGGAAGTGCTTTCAGGATAGTCGTTACAATTGGTGAAAAGGTCCATATCGCTCCCGTCTATAGAAGATAAACTTGTCTCACACGGGAGACTAATATCCATTTCCATGGCATTGCTTGGTTGGTTGGTAGATTGTGACATCTCTGTGATAGTGGGATCTATCATAGTAGGAGTTGGAGGTTTTTCGACATGCGGAGGAGTAGGAATTGTATGACTCCTAGGCATGGAGAGGAGTGCTTCGGCCTTGGCCAGTCGGTCCTCAAGCTGTGAAAGTTGTGCTGGCAGATCATCTCGAGTCGAACGCCGCTTGTTATCGTAACCGCATCGTAGGCTTAGACGAGTACATCGTCCACATCTAGGTTCGGCGCGATCACATCGAACTTTACGCTCTCTGCAAATCTCGCAAGCCTGACGGCCAGATTGTGTCCCTGTCCCAGTGCTCTCCTTATTACCCCACTGCTGTGGTGTCATAGAGCCTCTCCGTGCTATATTTGCCATCGTCATTGAAAAAGAAATGGACGGTGCAATTTTAGAGTTAAACAAGAAAATAAGGGGGGGGAGGGGTATAGAGATATAAATGTATAGAGATGTTAGATGTGTAGATGTATAGAGGTCCAGAGGTCTAGATGTATAGAGGTATGGAGGTCTCGATGTATATAGAGGTATACAGAGCTTTGCCAACTACAAGATAGCTACACGATTAGTTACCTTATGTATCAAGATTATGTATGGCATTTAAATTAAGCTTAACTGGAGGTTCGCATTTAGCGTCAACCACGATCAATTGTACTGCAACCGACATGCAGCCGATGCGTGTCAGCTTGCAGGGTAACCCTTTAGGCCGCCAGCATGCGTTCAAGGTTGCCAATGTGTTTACTTAGGAGTGCTAGGCAGGAGGAGTACTTTCTACCGGAAGATCAACACTACCTAGATGGGTAAGCTAGTGCCATATCGTTCCCTTCCATGGCTATATTTGGGTCGCGGGATATGAAACACATCGTTTTTGAAGCAGATCTCTCCTGCGGGTATGACAAGATCCCTTAGAACCTCGATACGCTGACAACGACAGGGGAAGAAAATCAGATAAAATTAAGGTGAGTATATGTATAGTAGTATATGTATACTCATACGTAAGATAGAGCTCACCGAGGTGGGAATACATATATTCTGATTGGTTCAGACCTCTAGCAAAGTCAGATGATGCGCATGCTTAAATGCTTCAAGGGTGTTATAATTTAACTTGCCGAACCGTAAGGCTCTGCCTTTTGTCTATCGTACATGTGGGCTAAGCCCAAACCCCGGTATATGAAGACGAAGGGTCTCGTCACTTTTGCATAAGTACCTACCTACATGCTTAACACATAGAATAATATGCAGCCGTGTCGTCGTGATATGACACTGTCCCGCGTTAAAAACGTAGGTAATATCATCACAGGTATACACTAAAGAAGAGCTTACCAATCAATATAGCCGCCACTACATGGCTTTTCGTCTACAGATTTATTGGTTAATACCTTAGGTAGGTAGGTAATTATTTCCTTTTCTTCTTAATAGTCGCTGTTATGCCCAAAGAGCTTATAAATTAACATATATTCAAGAACAGAAGGTTATTTCATTATACATACGCACGTAGATATCTTTTGTACTTAGCTAGGTACCCAATGTATTCAACTCACTAGGCACTCGATGAAAGAGTCAAGAACTTTGTACGGATCTGGGATGCCGGTATCCAGTCTATGTGGATAGGTCCATATATAACGATAAAGGTACATGGACGGAAGGTGACAAGTGGATCTATACCTTACGTTCGACGTCCTGCACGATATCGACGGACTGGTGTCGTTATTCACAGATGGCTGGCAAACCACAAGGCCGAAGTTAGATGGCTACTTCAACAGATGGCATAATGATATGCACAACAGCAACTCTTCGTATCATGTGGCCCTACCTTTACTCCTTGATCGGCTACTCAAACGCAGCTACTGATCGCGTTCATGATCTTTTAGAAAGATCGCAGCGCTGGTAGCGCTGACCTCAGCGGTGCCGAGCATCTCAGGCAGATGAGAGCGCCTGGTATGCTTTCTCGGCGCTTGGCTTCTGTCCCGTTAACCCAGTTAACCCAGCCAACCCAGCCCAGTGGCAAATACGTAGCTGGCTCTCCGTCCTTCGAGAAAGTCAGTCTAAGAGCCAGCCTAAAGCCTCCTTCTAGCACAGCTACCGGGGTCAAAGCCACATGCCACGTTTGTGAGGAGGATTCCAGCCATTGAAGCACCTGGCGCGACGGCTAAGCTATACATACATGAAGAGGTTAAGTGTAGAACGGAAGGTGAATGGATCGGCCAGTCCTTCGGCACGGGGATATCGTGAGGGCAAACTTAATCCGGTTCGAGATGAACGAGATCTCGACAGGGTGGTGTGGAGATTGTGCTTTGTGATAGGGTATGCATAGCTGTAGCCGAAGACAGTCAAGGATTATCATCATAGCGCCCGTGGATCTTCTGCACAGCTACTCAACTCTGTAGAACCATATGTGAGGAAGAGGCGGATAGCCAAAGAGGGATCGTTTAGGATTAGGAAAGGATCTTCTCAAGGAGTGGCAAGCCGAGAACAGGTCTGGTATGCTCTTGATATGTAACAAGAGGTCTAGGCTTCGAAGATAGTAACACTACAGCATCCTATAAGCTGACACGCGGCATGATATCGGGTATGTTTACAACATTGTTATAGTTTTGGACGGGACGATCCGATTGGATCGGAAGATATTACTCGCACAAAGGTTGATTCTATGTATGTATGTATGTATGGATGGATGGATGTATGTATAAAGAACCCTTGTATGGTACCTTGTAGCTTACCATTCTGTAGCGGGACATTATAAAAGTACATACCTAGTCCCGGTTAGCTAGCCCTTTTTTAAATAAGAAACGGGAAGAAAAAAAAAGGTACCCTAACCTATGTACCGTACTTCACTTATGAATGATCACGGTGTTAATATACCGTGTTTACGTAGTAGTACCTTTATTTGGTCGAGTAAATGGTCCTCTCACCCGGCGATGCTAGGGAGGCATGAAAGGTACCTAGGTATGTTCCCCATAAAAGCCACAGACAGGGATATATTGGAACCTGGACACGTCCAATCAAAACATAATATAAATAAAGTGTATACCTTATAAGGAATCTTCATTCCGTCTTAAGCCAATCGGACTTTTTATATATCTTTTTAAGGGTTTAGTTATGTGCCTCACTCGCGCTTCGGGTGATAATGCACTAGTATCTACTGCTGCAACTGCTGCAACTGCTGCAACTACTGCATCAACGCTCCATTCGCGCAAAGAGACCTTGTATGTAAATGACCTTGCACATGTAACGACCTTACACGACCTTACACCTTGCAAGACCTTGCAAGACCTTGCATATCTCATGCCCACGGATAAAAAGTCTCTACTTTTAGGGTAATTTAATGTAACAAATAAGGAAGGTCGGGTCCATTTTTATAGGGCATCACATACTTCGTACACGAATTAAGCAATTATCATACCACTTATATGGAAACATCCTTTTCGAAAGAAAAAGAAGGAAAAAACGCTTTATTCCGTACATAAAATTGTTCCTTATACAGCCTACTTCAATCCACCCCCAACAATGCCAAGCAAGCAGCTCCTCTTCATGCGCAAAGTCCTTCCCCAAGTTACTTACCAGGTTCTTGCTACCCATAAGCAGCTCATGCATGTAAATTGCCCAACAACAATTGGTGCTTACTTAGGACCACATTTCCCTGTCAGCATCGAAAGGTAAGGAGGCTCATCATCGAGATTCACGTGGTTCGTTGACTCAGACTCCACTCAAATCCCGATCCAGAGACTGTCTGCAAATATCCGGCTCGCCCCGACATTGGTGTCCATATCCTGTAATTTCATCTGTCGGGAGTAAACTCTGCCAACCCGCTCGACCAGCACCGAGAAGATGTGCCCAAGCGTATTTCTTCGGCTAGTGGGAACCGAAACTTGCCCAGATGCAGCGAAAATCTTCGATACCTAAAAGTTCATCAATTGAATCCATCGTTAACGATAGCTTCTTTTCTGGACCCTCGCAGTAACCCGTCTCGGTCGTTCCACCGCATCCAAGATCGAGCCAATACGTCCCGACCCGAGATTCGAACAATCATCCCGTGCTGCCTTCTCAGTAGCCACTGATTTATATTGCTTATATGGATAGATTCCCTATCATCACGGCATATCGTCACAGCATATTATCACAGCATAAGTCTTACAGGAACAACTCTTAGTGAGTTGTATACCTCGAACTTTTAGTTAATTATATAATGCAATGATCATTTAGTGCTGATGCTTTCTTTCGTAAGCATCATAGTACCTAACACGTCGGAAGATCCGGCAGAGATCGCCCAACCTAGTCGAATAATGGACGGGAAGCACAGGTCCTCTTGATTACGAAGGAATAGCATACATGAGGAATCGCTAGAAAACGGGCGACATCGCTTGTCAGAAAAGGTCTCACGTGACTCGGCTGACAAGAGTCTACTCCTCGAATTACCTACGGACGACCATCAGATGGATTATCTCTTCTGAGATATCGCATAATGTAACCGTGGGGAACTGCTCAGATGTAAAGCCAAGTTCAATAACTGATGAACTCCCGATTCTCTCAGCACTAGCAACAGCGCAAAGGCTCTGATACGCATTTCAGGGCGTTGCTACTTGGTCAGCCCCCAGAAAAAAGAGCGCTACGAGATTATTATGCCAGCAGACACGGATACCGCGATGTGACCAAGCAGTGGGAAGGCAACCAGGTTTTTTCGCAAGGAATCACGAACCTAACTTAATCCGGACTACTGGCGTATATGCATGTAACTTCTTATTCAGGTATCTCAGTGGCTCGCGGCAGGTTTCCCAACACCAGCCGTAGCGTCAACGAAACATGTGAAGGACGACGTGGATTAGCCCCACCTAGCCATGGGTCGACAAGCCTGGGTATCCCCTGGATATCCCTCTCGCAGATGAATATGAGGAGAGCACATGATTTAGCAGCTCTTGATAACGCTTCTATGACTGCATTGCCGGCAGATCCTACGGGGGAAGCAGTGGCGATGAGCATCTGCGAGTGCGTAGACCCCTGAAAGTATCAAGAAGCCTATCCTAAGAGCATCGAGATGGCTAGATCAAAAGAGTAACCTGGATGTATCTCCATAGTCCCACATTAGGTCATGTTGCTAGTTCTTCGCGAGATGGCATATTGGGTTTCTCGGTTCATAACGGAGCGAGCTAGAGATATCAATTTCCAGCTGTGAAATAATTATTATGCATGTATTCGTTGTACGTACCTATTTGACATATAGGGCGCAGACTTTTGTTAGACCCGGAGGGCGTGAGTGCATTTACATTCGACAGGTCAGCAAACTCATATTCTATGTATCATAGTTATCTAGAGATGATCATTGAGAAGATATTGCGATATAACAAATTTAAAGTTTCTCTCATTATCTAAAATAGCTACAGTCTAGTAGGTCCCTTTTTAGCTAGAAAGGCCGCTCCATAGAAAGAAGGAAAAGAGCATCGACATACAGGTACTCATCAGGGGATATGTTGACTTTCTGTTTCTAATCATAATAACTAAAACGAATGACTATCAATAATTAGTTGGTATTCGATGATATACTATAATTATTTCCAATAGTAATAACAGGTACCTACCTAGTGAAATATTGTTATCCCACTACCAGAGCATGTAGGATAGATTCATAAATAAATGAACACTTAGTAAGTTTAGAGACTCTTACTCAGTCTAGCTAAACCTTAATATACACAATATGACAGCTAATAGGAACAGAAGTGCAATTAATTAAACGCAGACCGCAACATATTAGGAGGTAGTTACGTGAGAAGTTGAGAAGTCTTTCGTATACAACTCATCAAACTTCACCCAATATTATAATAACTACCTCTACTACATACCTAATGTATAGATACTAGTCTCAGTATAAAGGACACTAGATATTCACAACTCACCAAATGCAAGTCTAAGGGTCCTAAAAATATACCCCTAAAGTCTCGGCTATTACGTAGGTATAAACACAGATAAAGAACAAGAGGTACATAGTGTTGAGTATGCAATGCAAGTTTATATTGGTCTATAAGTTGCCTCAGCTAGTATATCCGGTTCCTGACCGGTGACCACGGAAACGGACAATGGGCCGGCCCATCATGACAGTTCTGAGAGTCGCTGACTCCTCTAATTCCGTTTTCGCAACCCTTTCTATGCCAATGACAACGCCCCAACGACAAGAGAAACGAATATATGCGGGTTGTGCGTCCCCAGTACTGCTTTCCAACCAATAATATGTACACGTGAATCGCATCGTAGACACCATCTAGGCAACTCTATCCGGCCATTTAGGCGTACTCCCAAGTAACCTGGACGCGTCCCGCATCCAAGCTTTCAAGCTGCTCGAAGACAGCGGGGGACACGTCAATGCTGTCGCCAGCACAACCAGGGCATTTGTCCACAACTGTAGCACTGACGGTCTTGCCGTTGTAGCTGATGTTGATTGTCCTTCCACAGTTTCCGTCCTGGTTGGGGGACATGGCGGCAACGGCTTCGCTCTCTGTGTTGATGTTACCGCATGCGCCAAGGCCTGGGGCATAGTACGTCATGTCGCCAGAGAAGGCAACGGATGGGGCAATAAGGGCACCCAGAGCAACGACGACTTTGGCGACAGTATACATGGTGGATAAGACTAAGTGTTATGTCTTGTGTGCTGGTATTATGGGTCGGTTGGTAGTGATGTCTAGACGTAGAGTCAAGGAATGAATGGCTAGTTGCTGATAACTCTTAGTGGTCCTGCCAGGAATAGAAGAAAGGAATGTGATGGTATTGATGATAGTGATTGTGTTGATGGTAAGGCTCTTCATCCAAAGAAATGAAGGCGGGACTGAAGGCTTAAATAACTTTCCAGCTAAGCTTACATTGTTATTCTGTGTCATCACTATCCAGTTACTTATTCAGTGTACTTCTATGTTCAGCTATTGTTTTGCATCCAAGTAATTACATCCAAAAACATACGGACGTTTGCTAGCTACAACAGGGGCATTGTGGTAGGACAACAACGTTGAGTTACTGTATTGTAAATTAAGGTCGTTCAGACCAGGAACCCTAGTCAACTCACTGTCAGACAGGCTCATTAATGTCAGGAAAGCGAGGGCGTAGAAGAGTCTGAGTAGTCGACGGCATCGCCTATGTTGTTGCATGGGAAGCTTCCGGTCTAGGTAGGTAGATGTGCAGAGCTTACAATCCGGGGCCGCACATGGGGTACGGTATCTATTTTAAGCCGCTAAGATGATGACCATAGGGCGGTGGGAACTACGAGATAAACAGAAAGACTCAACAGAAATCGTCATAGGGTATGGTTAAATATTATCTACGAAGAAAACATAAATATGAAGTCTTGTTAATTCTACGTAGTGTAGACAATCAACCATCTTTAATTCCGATGGCGAGGAAGGGCGAATAAAAAGAGCCCCAAAGTCGATGCAAACTTACCCGCGAAAACAAAAAGAGCTTCATTAAGCGCGAAAGGGATTGTTTGTATCTCATCGTACATCGGGCTGTTTCTAAAGTGTAAAGTGTTGAACAATTTCGATGGGATGAGCAGGGTCAAATCCTCCCGTGTTCCGTGTTCGGGAATACTAAGCTACATGTCCGGGCATTCCGGGCATTCCGGGCATTCCGGGCTAACTTCATTTTAACTCCATTTCCCCCTTTAAGAAGCTAGTTCCCGTTCATTACAAGGGTTAAAAAAGCTTGATCGTGAGATTAGGTAGTTATAATTGATTGCGCCACGTTCTCCTCAAAACCGTGGTACAACAAAATAAGCATCGGATTCAAATACTTGGCGATCTGCACTTATCTGCTTTAATATATTGTTGCATATTGTTGCAGAGTTAGTGTTCCACGTAACGACCTGGTTTCATGTAGGGATAATTGTAAAGAGCTTAATATATCCTAAGATGGAATTTCTCTGATTCCGTCACCGAACTCAATTCAACATATTAAAATAGAGCTTGAAATCACCAACTCTGGTGCAAACTTGGAATTCTTGCTCGTGATTGGGTAATATGCTAGTTAATAGATGTACACTTTTAATTTTCGTATTACCACTGTCGAATAGTCAAAACTACCTTAGGTAACTAACCTAAGCATACGTCCAATGATATTTAGCTTGTAACTAAGCTGATTGCTAACTATATAAGTGGAGGAGAGGTTGTTATATTAAAGGCCACATGCTTAAACGAGCAAATGCATTTCTAGTGCATGGGTGGCGGCTCGTACCTTTTTGACCTTATCATATTATTCTCCTAAAGCCATAGTCATTTCAGAGATGATGCTCGGAAAGTTCGATTGAAACGACACATATGCTGCGGTACGTTTATTGGCGTTGAAAGGATTCATATCTTACTATAGCAAAAACAAGAAATGTGGCATGATTCGTAATCCCATAGCGTATACTGAAGCAATACCACGAATCCTCTAAAAAAAAAAAAACAATTTGGTTGGGTTTAGAAGAACGTTCGCTAGACCTAATAGACAGCGTTCTTGTTTCCGCGTTTCTAAGCCTTTGTTGCTCAATGTATAATTCATACTCTAAATGTTTTTATTTTTTTTAGTCGTGAGTGCAATACACCATGAAAGGCACTCGCCGATGCCACGTTATTATAGCGAAATGCACCTGTTACGTAACCACAAAATACCTGTAAGCAGCTAAAATATGCGGCCGATCGGACACCAAAAACGTAAGCAGTACATATATACTGCCTTTGACAAGATGCGAAAGTAGAGGTACCTAAGGGAGCCTTGGCGGCTGACAACACTAACCGAATTTGCGGCTGAAAACTCCATGTAGAACTTGCTCCAATACACTAGGGAACATATTCTTTAACAACTTTATCAGGATAGCTGTGAGTGAACAACCAGTTTGTTCTGGGGAACAGTTTTTGTTAGTTCCTTGTGTGGCTGTCTATTATAATTATCGAGGCGCATACGACTTAATCTTCAAAAATCAGATGACAACTCGGCACGGCTACGGCTTATCTACAATCAAACCAAGTTTTCTGTCTCAAAGAATATCTTAAGATTCACCTACACATTTAGCACAATGTCTTCGAAGCCTCGCGAAACACCGACTATGGAGTCATTAGGCCTTCGGGAGTCTGGGCTCTACTTCCCTACCAGTGCAAACAGAGTCATCAACTTTCCTCCAGATGTGATCCGACAAGATGCCTTAGATACGCGAATTGTCGTACACGGCCGCTTTCCCGAGCTAGTTGAACGGTTTCTGGCTCATAAGCGTATACACGGAAGTTCTATAGAAAAGCAGCTATACGGTCCGGATTGGACCTGGCCGCAACAAGTAATGAGACTTATCGAGAAGCGACCCCTGTCTTTTGTCGGTCCAAACGACTCAACTCTACTACGTACCGGACAATCATTTCAAATGGGAACTAGGTTTTGGGATTCAATAGGCGCTGAAGGTACACCTTACAAGCCCCTAGAAGAGTACTTAACCTACGATGAGATCATGCTTGGTAGCTTGATAGGGGTCAGCAGTCCAAGTTACTTTATTAACGATGGCGCCCGGGGTAACAATGGGATGCCCCAGGACGCTGGAACATTTGAGCCTAGGGGGATCATTATAGGATTAGTCGGGCCGCGATTTGAGCGGCTACTGCATATGGACTCTAACCTCATCCTAGACGGTGTGGTAGCAAGACAACAACATCCTCAACTCACCAATATATTTTTGGATTTCCTTGGTGTTGGGGAAAGATCGGAATTGCAGATGGAAAGGTTCTCCATACGAGCCTATACCCAGCGTATACGTATTAGCGCCGATATTCTGCTTCTGGAGGCAAATGAACGCGCGAAGGCCGTAGGCCGAAAGGCGTATGTCTACATAGTAGGCCTCGGCCTCGGTGCATGGTTATACGATCCGTTGCAGCCCGAGTTATTCATAAATGCTTTCCAAGAGTCATTGATGGTTCTAGGACCGAAGCTGACACATATTAGAACACTTGATTTCGCATGGATTCGAGTGGCAGGGGAGATCCAGAAACAGCTAGCTGGTATCACAATGGGACTAGGCATCACTGCCGTATTCTCAAGGCGTAATCCAGCTGAAAAGTTGATAGACCAAAGAGCAGACCAGCTTCTCGTCATATCCTACGCGTGGGATGGTAATTCATTTCCGGGTAACGAATATTGGGAGGGAAATCTAAGTGGTAGTGGTGATCCTGCAGCGGCATGTATGAGTACAATCGCTGAGCTACATAATCCCCTGGTCAATCCGGACTTTACCAAGCGAATCTTTGTGGTAGACAGCTCAGAGAAGTGAAGGAAACATAGCGATTCATACTAAGCCTAGTACAATGGTTCTGATACTCTAGGGCATTTTTTGCTATTAGAAAAGCGTACAATTAATAGAAGATTTATGTAGCTCTATAAACTCATATCTAATCCCTACACTTTCATGAGGGAACGATCTTAATAAGATTGGAACAAATTCAAAGTTATCAAACTCTTCACATATCTATTTCAGCAAACCTCGACTCTTCTGTAAAGAAATGGATATAAGGTACGTAGGCATTTACCATGAATAGTATCTTCTCGGATTTATAAATATATTTATTGGCTACGTTAACTTTCCAATTATCTTGTGACATCTGTACGAATCATGGCTCCTACATCGACATGCATTTTATTACCTACACCTGCTGTATACCTATAGCTTAATGCTCTAATTGATGTATATTAATGACAATCCCCACCTCCGAAGGAATTCGACGGTGTGCCTTACAGCCGTCTGCATTATGCGTATACTATAGACATGCAACCTCTATACTAATAATTAAACTAATAACATGGTATACTCAGACCAGAGCTGCCCGATAGCATTGGGCAGGGAAGGAAGTGCATGCCCACATGGGAAAATCACTTAAGAGACGTCTTGTCGCCAAGCCCGCGTAAAAATATACATCGATTGGCATGGGGACTTACATGTGGTCTGTGGAACTGCCTACTGGGGTACCTAAGGTTAGGCACGTCGAAAGGATCAACCAATTTGCATATGAGTTGCGTGATGGAGAAGTTTTCTTGGAAAGGCGGCCGCTAGAAGAAATGGTGCCATGCAAGCCATCTTTGGCGGCTTTCTACGTTGCATGATATCAACGTCAGACCGAATCTACTAAGGAAGCATACCTGTATTACTTGACCCCTTTCCCGGTGAGTGATGTTTGGAACCTTCGACAGTATACGAGGATGCATTACAATATGTGGCTTTTGCCCAGCCTTTCCTGTTAATAAGAGCTTACTACACAACGACTTCGGGATAATAGGAAAAAACTAGGTAAAGCATCTATACTACGCCGATAGGTTGCAATTCGCATCGTCCCACGTATTACTATATATTAGAAGATACAAAGGGTTTGGATGGGGACAACCCCGCAAACGTTGCCAGTGGAGGAATGAAGTTTAGAATTATTTAGTGTTCGGCGATCTTCGGGAATGGGGAAACATAAGAAAACATTCGATTCAGCTGTCAGGGCTGACGAGCGGGGGGAAGAAATGGGGATAGTGAAATCTGGGGAAGCGTGGGTAAGGAACACCGGAAAAGGGGGGACGAACGGGACGAACGGGACGAGAGATAATGTGCCTCGGATCGGCGATGGATCGAATCGTTTTTATCTTATCTCTTTTTCGGGTTTGCTGGCTGCATAGACCGGAGTACCGCTATGACCGCTATTATTCATAAATAGGAGGCACCTAACTTAGGGCGATAAAACAACTGAAAAGCGCTGTCATTAGGCGCAAATGACTTATTCGGAATTCCCTTTGGTGCTGTAGCTAACCGGAAGCGAAAGGGGGGAAAGAGCCTATCAAAACCCCTCCATTTGCAAAATGAAAACCCCACTAAGCCATTCTACCCCACCTGACTAGCGGTTGGTGCAATAACATTACTCATGTTACCCGGGATTGGCCGAGGGGTTGTTACCCGCTGGCAAGCCACTGGCCTTCAAGTATGTGCCTCGACGTCAGGATTTTGAACCTTTTACCTCGCACACACAACTTGATGACAATACAATTTCGGCGTACACATGTCAACACCACACTTTAAAAAAAATTAGAATAAATTATTTAATTCGTCGTTGATTTACCATAGAATACTTTTCTCTTATTGAAGAACTGACTACCTCATTTGATAACCATCTACGGATACCTAAACCCGTCTTGGCTGATCCGACACGCACATTACCACGATAGATTGCGTTTATTTTCACCGATCCTCGGCTTCACCATCAGCGCTGGTCGCCTTAGCCTACGGCACCTTTCTACACGCGGCAACTTCTACTTCTACACTGTGCTCTCAATCATCACGTACTTCCCGTCCATCCATCTCCATAATCCTTCCCGCTTTCTTCCCGCCCATCGCCAAGATGCCTTCGTCTCAGCGCCCATTCTTCCTATCTTCCTTCCTCGCCGCCTTCCGACAACAGACACCGCCGGCCCTCTCAGCAACGTCACAACCTAACAAGCATACCTCGCAGCCTGCATCAGGTTCCTCGCCTTCGGGGGCGCGGTCGATCTCGTCAACATCCCATGCCCAGGCCCAATCACCATCACAACAACAGCCTCAACAACGAACAGGGGGTGTCATGAATCAACTACCCTTGCAGTCGCCACCTCGACATCATCACTCCCCGCAACCACATCGCCCAGGCATACCTATCCCGGCTCCCGGCCGTCGGCGAGGTAGTGACAGTAGTAGTGAGGGTTTCCGCGATGTACTTGGTGCTGATAAGTGGTACATTGGAGGTCGGACAGCCGGTGGCGATGAGCGATTCTTTAAGTTAGGTGTTGTAAAGCGGGTACGGAGCCAAGATCGCTTGAGTTTAGACAGGTTAAGTCTATGATCACTCTCATAAAATAGTTCACCACCGAAACCGAGCCGAATCATGGTTAGGGATGGGACGATGGCGAACTCATAATTTACATATCTGTCTATCCCAATACTGAACATACTTAGCGGGCTGCCTCCTTGCGGGGACTTACGATCGGGAAGGGTAAACATATGTAATACACGGCATAAATCACGGTTGCCCTCAACGAGGCGTTTAGAGGAAGGGTGGATAAGGGTCAAGGCCTGCAAATTTGCATTAGGGAATTGATGGATACTGTATATGGCACGGCACGGCACGGCGTTAAGAGTTTGCTATTTAGGAACGGCGTTCAGGCGGCCTTGGCATATGGTTCACAGCAAGCATGCTAAAGGCCAAGAGAAAAGAAGAGAATTAAGAGAAAGAAAATAATTCGACATCACCGGCTTGAAACCGGACATCACCATCTCACCTCATCACACAACGACATGCCATCATATATAAAATTGACGCATTAAGCAACGACGATAAGAATCTGACATTCGCTGCATAATATGCGAATATAGTATTGGAAAGGAGGCCATATGCCTACCTCGGGAGAATTACCAATACCATTAGATGAATGCTAAGAGTACAAGTTCGGATGGCAACATTTTGATCATTCTTTCATTTTGGCCGTGAGAATACTCTAGTTGCAAATGACTGCAATTACGGGTCTATCTATTGTACTAGCTATGGAAAATGCAAGAATTGTGTCCGACCAATAATTATTACAAACGGGGTACAATTACCACATAAATCTTTGTACATTCCCACCGTCTAGCAACTCGCCGTCTGGGCCTCGCCAGTAAAACGGCCGAGTGATGAATACGTACATAGTTGCTACGTTGATTAGCAGAAACCACACTGTCTCAAGGAGAGGCACAAGGTGCTGGGAGATCAGTGAAGTTGACCCCAACCCTGGGAAGGTAGGTCGCGTTGGAATGAGTAAGCGCCAGAATACCCACGGTAGGATGAAATAACGCGGCTCGACTAGCGGTGCCGTTACAAGGGAGAGAGTGGCTGCGAGGAGAATCAGTGCGGTTGATGTAGACGGTGGTATTGCTGCCGCATCCACCGTTGTAAGGGTCACGTTTGACAACTTTTTGCCAGTCGGAGGTGGTGATAAGGCCAAGGCCTTGGTACTGAATGGCGTTAGTATCCACTGGCGCTTCTGAGCAGGTAGTGTGGTTGAGGGGCTGCCTTGCAGAGCGGCCCAGCACAGCCAGCCGCAGATTACGTAGACCGGGACGAGGGCGTATCTTATCCACCATGATCTCAAGATCGTGTAACGGAAAACGTAGAACATAAAGTGCCTATTATCGGCTAGTGTGAATGGATGGATAATGGTGTTGTGTCGCACGATTAAGGTGGTGGTCATCAGGGCGCCGGCGAGGATAAGGACAGAATGGAGTGTATGGCTCGATCCGATGTGGTTGAATGCTTTTAGGACCGCGGACTGATTAGGCATGCTTGTCCCCTTTGGGTTACTCCTAGAAACAGGTGGCTTCTTTGAGTGTAAGTCTGACTTAGTTGAACCAGTGATGACTTGGAAAACATATATGGCCAGATCTATAAGTGATGGGATAAAAAGAGGTGCCGAGAAGAACGCAAATAGAGGCCATATATATAGCATCTGGGCCAGGTGTAGAGTTGCCACGTGATTGGATTTATCCCCTATTCCCAGTCAATAATCAAAAAGACGACTCTACCAAGTCAACTCACCTAGGACAACGCCGCCATTCCAGATAACAAACCCAACGAACGCCCCAAGGACTACAAGGTGCGGCCAAATCTGCCTACGTATAATAGTCCCAAGGTTACAGATTGCAGCTACGCCAATACTGACGGCGGAAAGGACCAGGTCTACTTATTTGGTTAGAATAATGGTCTAGGGTGTGGTTCGAGACTTACCAATTGGGTGTGCTAGGTTCAGGAGAGGATCGTGGATATCTCCAAGCGAGTACCTCCAAACGTAAAAACTGATCTGTTCCGACAGCGTTTGAAATGCTGGAACAGCTGTGGTTTCCGGGCAGAGAGTCTTGATGACATGAACGACTTCCAAGCCACCCATGTATACCACGACCCAAAAAATGTTGGTCTGCCTCACGCTCAGCGCCAGGAGTCCGAGAAAGATCGTACGGACATTACTTGCTGTGGACGGGTTATCCGAATACATTCGACCTAGGTGGTTGATGTAGGCAAGCAGTACGGCAAACGTGGAGAGGACATCTGTGTAGTACAAGCCTGAAAAGAAGAACAGGACAGGGAAGAGGGTGACATTGATACCTGTCCAGAAAGAATCTACTGAGTACAGACTTGAAGTTCGCACATCGCTTGCTGTCCTTAGCTGCCGAAGCTGAGCTCTAGATGCGATGACAGCTATAGCTAGATAAGAGATAATCTCTACGTTGAACTCGCGGAGATTATATACAGAACACGAAAGTCCTGATAGTCTAATTCCCAGGATGGTCAAAATGTAGCTTTACGTTGTCAGTTGTGGGGGTAGCCAGGGAAAATGTGATTTGAACTGACAGTCCAGGAGGTGTAGTGATCTTATCATCCCATACGCCGAATTTGCCATCACAGTAAACCTGGGCTTGGGGAACATGGAACACTTCATCCTAATCTTGTATTAGATCTCAATATGTCTAGGTAGGTAGTTATAGCGAGTTTAAAAGCACCAGGTTATTGTATACATACCAAATACGGGTTCGAGGCATGTTGAGTAACGAATGATAGCCAGGTGTGACCAAGGAACTGAATAGTTATCAGAGATAGGAATATGCCTAGGCCTGCGCGAGGAGATGCGATCTTATGGATGGCGTAGATATATGTGGCCGTGGCAATGAGACTGTAACCGGCCAGCTGGGAGACCCAAGAGGAACTTGGCTCCAACCAGGGAGTCATTATCGCATTGACGAACTAGGGAAATAAAGAAGTCCTAAAGAAAACATAAAATGCCTATTTTAAGTTGAAGCATATTTAGTACCTGATCTAAGATAATTGATTTATTGTTGATCTAATGTAGGTCTAGGATATGCGGTTTGCACGTGGTATTTATCAATGTATAACTTGAAGTAATTTTAGAAGCAGAATTGACAAGGCCAAATAATTCAATTGAGCAACAGCTGACAGATCTTTGGACGTTCCACCCCTGACAACTTTAATCTTTAATAGACCGGTACTTCGTACATGTACTTCGTACCTACTTCATAGATCCACCTATAGTGGACCTTACTCTTATTGGGTAGAAGGTGACGCTTGCCAAGAACTGAAGTTTCTAAAGCTTCAAAACGTTCCCATGGATTTACACAATTTCCACAATTTACAATTTACAATTTACACAACACCAAGTTTTAAATCTCTCGGCCTTTGATATATCCAATATCAAATTCTACCGTAACCACAAGCCATTGAGGGCTACTATGCCCATCACAAAACCTTCACGATGGCATCTTCTCATCGAATCGCTCGGCGCTTCCTCAGCTCACCGGCCAACCCGCTATCTTCCTCTAGACGATCTCCCGTTCAGCTCCGTACCCGAATCGCCGCCCGTAACGCCTCAACATCTACGGACTCTCTACCCGCGTCCCGGGTAAAAACGGCACTCTTCATAACATCTATAGCTGTATCCGGCTATGTAGTCTATATTTATGGCACCGATACTCGCGCTTTCGTCCACCGTTATGTCGTACCCCCGCTGCTCCGCTATCTCTACCCGGACGCCGAGGAGGCACACAATGTTGCTGTCTCCTCTATGAAGACACTGTATAACCTAGGTCTTCACCCGCGCGAGCGTTCTAGCTCATCTATCTCTGATGGTCCGGATATTAGTGTATCCGTCTTCGGAGAGCAACTGGCAAACCCTATTGGTATCTCCGCGGGCCTCGACAAGCATGCTGAGATCCCGGACCCGTTGTTTGCCCTCGGCGCCTCTATCGTTGAGGTTGGTGGCTGCACGCCCCAGCCGCAGGAGGGTAACCCCAAACCGCGCATGTTTCGAATCCCTACACTGGACGGTCTGATAAACCGGTATGGACTAAATTCGCGTGGCGCTGACGATATGGCTATGCGGTTACGGGATCGGGTTAGACTATATGCTAAGACAGTTGGGTTAGATGAAGCAAGTGTATTAAACGGCGAGGCCAATGTTCCTCCGGGTAGTCTGTTGCCTGGACGCTTGTTATTGGTGCAGATTGCTAAGAACAAGGAGACGGACGAACGTGACGTGGAAGCCGTGAAGCGGGACTACGTATACTGTGTGCGACGGCTAGCACCGTACGCGGATGTGCTCGTTGTTAACGTGAGCAGCCCGAACACGCCAGGCCTGCGCGACTTGCAAGCCGTGGAGCCCCTTACGCGGATCTTAAGTGCGGTAGTCGATGAGGCGCGGCGGACGGACAGGAAGCGGGCGCCCAGGGTCATGGTCAAGGTTTCGCCGGATGAGGACGAAGATACTCAGATAGAAGGCATTGCGCAGGCGGTGTGGTTGAGTGGTGTCGACGGGGTCATCGTGGGTAATACTACGAAGCGCCGGAATGGACTGGTCCCAACCGGGGTAAACATATCACCTAAAGAGCAATATACCATGACGGAGACCGGTGGTTACTCGGGTCCGATGATGTTTGACCGAACCGTCGACTTGGTAAGACGGTACCGGAAATTGCTAGACGGCCAATCCTTCCAGCCTGCCAAGACGAACAAGGCTGTTGCCAACGAGGCGGTCGATGAGAGCATAGCGGGAATTGAAGGAACCATCACTGGATTCTCCGAAACCGAGAAGAAACCTAGCACTATCCCGCCGCAAGAGCAAAAGGTCATCTTTGCTACGGGGGGAATTACAAATGGGCGGAGAGCCTTGGAGATTTTGAATGCTGGCGCGAGTGTCGCCATGATCTATACAGGTCTTGTCTACGGAGGTGCTGGAACTGTCACGCGCATGAAGAGCGAGATGAAGGAAGAGTTGGCTGCGGAAAATAAGTCATAGATAGAAGAGAAGGGGACTTGTGGATGGGATGACTTGTTTTAAAAGGACTATTGTATCACCAGCACACGTACGGGATGACCGTTTCAAAAGTTTTGTCCATAGGGCACCCCTGTCAGGGCCGACGCTCACTGACCACGATTGTCTAACACCGGGCGACTTGAAAATGAATGTATATATAAAATACTCCGTTTATATTTTGAGTTATGTCCTACCGGAAAGATGGAAATAAAAATAGAAAAAAGCAACTCGTAACTTGTAATCTAGTCATTTATGTAAATATGAGTTTTTTATAATTTTATGACTGCCTTTGTAAGAGATATCCTTGTTTGAAAAGATAGGGCCTTCCTATGGACATAACTTTTGAAAGGGTCATCCGTATTAGACAGACAATTAGATGAGGTTGGCCAACAGTGAGCACCGTGTAAAATAGAACTACGTCAAATACAAAAAGGTAAGGATGGGGTGTCTAAAGACTCAATGAGAGATCTATTTGGATGTCATTTTGCATTTTGTACAGAAGTTCGCAGTATGAGCTCTATTCTAGCATCGCGCCCCCTTATCTGTCTAGTAAAAACTACCAGCACGACCCAAGTTTAGAAGGGCTAAATATGATGGATTAGCAAAGCTTGACCAAAGAGTAGGGAGCATGTGACGGTAACTCACATTGTCTGACGGGGGGATCTCCTTGATGTAGTAGCTACCGATGAAGGGGATTTTTTGTAGGATATCCTTCTGTACTCTGGGGATGCCGGATGCGTAGTAGATGACGGCGAAAAGGGCTACGCCGCCGAAAGCGCCGGCCTGCAATCCGCTGTAATTCGGTCCGTTAGCATGCTGCTATTGACAAATATGAAGCTGCCCAAGCCTGCGTAGATACATAGCATGTATGCTTCGCTAGAGGTAGATCTAGCTTTTTGGTTTGGTCGAGAGTGAAAGTAAACGGGTTGCTTACAGGCGGCCGATCTGCTTAAACGTCCATCCTGCAATATTCGGTTGGTAGTGGTACCTTTCGTTCGTTCATCCGTTAGCCAGGGTTCGAATAGCTTTCAATGTTCCATCCTCTAATGCAATTTTCCCCATCCACGTAGCTCGTACCGCTGATACCACATCCGAACTGGAAACTACGTATTCGGCTAACGGATAATCGGGTGCGCACTCACTTAGGTCCGTAGGGGCTCTTGTAGGAGGGATATTCCCGTGGAATAGGAGTCTATAGTCCCGCTAGGTTAGCAAAAGCCTCTCGCAAAAATTCCCACACGAGCTTTAGAGAGTAAGGATGCATGACCAATTAATACTGAATGTATTGGAGACTGGTATATATCGTACCTGAAACACCATCTTGACTTAGAGTCGAAGAGTATGTCGGCGGGGGGACTCAATGGCAAGTAAATTGACTTTGATTGTGATGTGATTTTTTGGTGACAGCTTCAGCTTCAACGTCAGTTCCGGTTTTCGATGGAAGCTGCGCGACATTCTTCGGCTGACATTTCGGAGGATTCCGGTTGGCAGCCCTGTTGTCAGCCACAGCAATGCACAAGCCACAATGTCTATACCTAGGTAAGGTAGCGCAGGTGCCTATTCCGATAGACGTTTTAATGCATTTAAGCGTTTAAATAGGTACGTACCTTGCATATTATGGGAACTTAGCTCTAATCGCAAAGTAAATGTCGAAAGCTTCAATCTTCCATCTTTTTTTACTTATTTCTTGGTCCCAATATAACACATTATCTAAGCGCAGAATGGATAAGCAGCTCGACGTATGCTTCGACCGTGTCGAGAAGGCATTGGGCACGCTGGTCGACTCGATTGCCAAGTATCATCCCTCCGTCGCCCAAGTTAACGAACTGGGGCTCGCCGACGTTGAGCTCAACAAGGGCCTCGAGGACTGTACGTTCTTCTTTCCTTTACTCCCCATTCCGCGATTATTTTTTCAACTATTCCCTCCCAACGACCATTAGATAGGAACTGATTTATATTCCTCCCCAGTACAAACCCACCAATCTAACCACCGACGGATCCAGGATCTACGAGCAGCGACAACCAGCTTCGATACTCAGATCAAGGATACACTGCGCCTACTGGCCAACACGCGGAAGGAACTTGTCAATGCTCCTGCCACCGTTTTCCCGTCTGACCGCCCTAGCTACGATATCGACTACGACGAACTACTCGCCTACGCTAGCCGGATTAGCAAAACTACTATCCCTCCCGCTGGTGCGGCGAACGGCCTTTCAACTGAACCCAAAACCGAGAATAGCGGAGGACCTGGAATAGAGACGGCTGCCACAACACCCGCGGGAGGGACACCGGCGAACACGAATGGAGCGCAACAACAAGACCTCACGTCGCAGTCACAGCAGCTCGCTACCACAGGCAGCGGCGATGCGGTAGCCACACAAGAGGAACTACCATGGAAGTTAAACCCATTCAGCGACGTCGAATTCGTGCCCTGGCCAAGCGAGGAGTCCGTGCGCAAAGGAGCGCTAGTTACTCTAGCCTTCCTCTCGGAGAAAGGTATCGACCCGGAGAACTACGACCCCGAGGAAGAAAAAGCGCGCAAGGAGCGCGAAAAGGAAGAACAGCAGGCAGCAGAAGAAAGAGAGAGGCAAGAGCGCGAGGAGAGGGAGCGTAGGGCCAGAGAGGAGCAAGCACGGCTGCGGGCCGAGCGCGAGAAAGAGCAGAGGGAGGCGTGGCGGCGCGCCAGCGTTACTGGGGGTGCGGGACCAAGTCAATCGTCGCCGGTGGGAGAGAAGAAGCAGTTCCAGTTTATGGCTGATGATGATGAGGATGATGACGAGTGAAGTATTCGCTAGTAAGTCATAAAGATGCGTATTGCTATGGGACATGCGAAGCATAGGGGTTTTATGGTGTCTAGCATGGTGCGCATATGGCTCATATGCCTTGATTGAATAGTTAGAACTATTCCTAATTACCATAATCGACGTCACAGCCAAATCCTATTACGGGATTCCGTAGCTAGTCACTCTGCGCAATATCAGTCACAATTACTACCTACCTCTTATGGAATAATATGTGATCTAGGAGGGTCAGGCTCCTCAAGTCTACCATTAGAAAATGGCCATCTACCTAGGCAGGTAGTTATTGTCCTAATTGAAGTAACTCTTATATGGTGTATTAAAATCTATCAAATTGACTCGAGTTAACCGACGTACATTTCTGGTAGGACCGCAATCAATATGGGGTTTTCCCCTAAGTATGGTACGGCCGACGGACCGGCCCCACTACGGGTTCCGGAGGGTTCAAGATTCTCATGATGCGGAGAGTCTTCACCTGAATATGAGGGTTTCATACTAGCCGCGTAAGGCGGAAAATAATCACACTAATAATAGTATAAAACCTAAGACATCGCGTAGGTAGACTTTTATTCATAATTTTCTAATGCGTACCCAGATACCTAGGAAGGTTCCCACGTTCGTTTTGTGCCTATCTGCTCCGCCGGAACCAGACTCGACAAGTTTTCTTCTATTCTACAGGTTTCGTGTGAGCCTCTTCTGAACCTGGAAGAACGCCTCCTAAAACGCCAGGCCCTTCGGAACTCGCAGGCCACATTTATGCAACTCGTTAAATTCCATCCCACCTCATGAAAGTGGACTGCGAAGACGGCGTACGGAAAAAAGATGTTGGTCGTACATTTCGTATAGTACAAAATTTTCGATTACTCCGAGTCGCTCTCCTTTGCGACTCTCCTTCTGTCCGCCCCTCGTAGCTTGTGCTGTTTAGTCGATCTTGATAGAGCGGTAAATCTTATTAACGAACCACCAACTAGAGAAGAACCCAATGGACCCTAAAGTATGATTATTAGTATAGTTCACGAAGATATCTATAATGCAAATACATACCTGTTAAGATAAAGAAAAGGAAGGAAAGAAGAGCGCTATATCCGATATACAAGACAGTGCCGGATAAGCCACCCAGAGACAACTTGCTGATTAGGTATATCAGGGCGTTAGCAAAGATATAGCCCGCGCTCATACCCGCAGCCAGGAAAGATCGCCACTGCCAGTGGTAGTTCTCGGCGCACAGTAAGAAGTACACCAGCAGAACCGTAACCGCAGCACAGGTGATGATCATGAGACCATAGCAGAGGAAGAGGAAGCCGAACATGTAGTAGATCTTGCTAAACCAAATCGAGCTCATAATAAAATATAGCTCGACGAAGATAGCGCCGAAAGGTAGGATACCAACCAGCAGCATACTCGGGATCGGCTTCAAATAAGTGGTGGCGGGAGGGATCTGTCGGGGGATCTGGTTGGTTCGGACAGGAGGTTCAAAAGCTGCCGCACGGAATCCAAGCCAAGAGCCAGAGACCGAAAGGGGGATCGAGATGATGAACCAAATACCAATGATGACTAGCATAGTGGTAAACGGGACGGCACCAGCAGCTCCATTGGCCCATAGGAACAGATTGAGGAAGAAGAATGTCGTAAAGACGATGCCAGGAACCAAGAGAGGAGTCAGGCTGATATTCAGCTTCCACTTCTCGCCGTTCATCGACTTGTAAACTCTCGCAGAGACATAGCCACCAACAAAGCTAAGGAGCGTGTATAGGATAATCATGATAGTTCCAAGGGAGCCACGGTTAGATGGCGATAAGAAACCCAGCAAGGCAAAACAGATAGTAAAGCCGGTCATAACGAACAACTGAGCACCATTACCGAGAAAGATGGAGAGGAGCAGAGGATGCGCCGGAGTTCTGAAAACGTCCCCATGGACCAACTTCCAGCCAGAGTCCTCCTGGACGCCATCCTCAAGATCCGCTGCACCCGAAAAATCCTCTAGGTTGATTTGATCCAATCGGTTGTATCTCGCAATATCCTTCTTCAGAGCCCTGAAGAGAACTGAGGCAACCGTAACGGTCAAGAAGATAACGACAACAGCGGAGTTGACGAGGGAGAACCAATGTATTTTAGGGTCGAAGACATGTAGATATTTATCCCATCGTGTAGCCCAGGCAGTGGGCGACTCGGTCCAGTATACGCTGTAGGTAAATGTGACTTCGGTTTGAGAGCCTTCGTTTTCGAGGAGGACTACGGGTGGCGTCTGATTGTCGTTGCATTCTAGATTATCGCCCTTGTATGCCTTGGAGGCAGGCTGAACAATTACACCCACTACCCTCAGCTGGTCGTCCTTTCCGTTGACCTTATGGTATTCGACAACGATATCGTAGTGGTTATTGAAGAAGGTCGGGCCGTCAGGATCAGTCGTGGAGATGGAGCCCATAGCAAAACCCGGGCTATAAAACGTGGTTCCGGTAAGGTCATCGAGGAGATGCTGTCCCGCTGGTAACCCATCCACTAGCCAGTTTAAGGCGTAACCCTGCATTATACGCTTGTTTACGAAGTGCGCAGAGGCCGTATCGTACTTCGAAGTGCATAGCTTCCTACAGGTATCATTTTTCTGCATGCTGAGCTCAAAGGGTGAAGTCATTATTCGATCGCCAAACAAAATACTTCCGAGGCTTTCGGACACGTATGATGGGCCGCCTTCGGGCTGACAGAACTGGAACATCTCGTTATAATAGTCGTATGACATGACAGAATGCAGAAGCGCATCTTGGCCGGCAACCGGCTTGATACTATTCACGTAAAGAGGGACTTTATCGCCAGGTTTATATGATGTAGGCGCGACGCCGGGGAGGTAGAAAGCAGTCGCAAGTTGTGGGACAGCGAGCAGCGCAGAGCAGAGCGCCCAGGACGGCGCAAGAGTTCTCGACTTCATCGTTGGTGTTTATGACATCGAGGTCTGCTTAAGAGTCAGCGAATACCTGTATTACTAGAGGGTGTGCTAGAAAAGGACTTGAAAGGAAAACGAGGAGGCAGGAAAATAAAATAAAAGTTGTTCAACTTACGTATCACTGAGCGCCGCAGAGAAGGATTCAAGACCAATCAGAGCACAAAGGCCCGTTTCCTCGATATGATATCTTAGAAGAGATATAAAGTTAACCAAGTTATTTCGTAGTAGTTAATTTAAAATTGATAGAGTAGCTACTTGAGCACGGCTAATCTGACGGCTAATGACGTTGAGAGCGCGCGTCTCAAAGCGTTTTAGTTTCGACGATTGTTTCAATATGCGGTTGACGGCGTACGCTTGAAATATTTATTATGATGTTCCTTGCGGATTTCATAAAAGTTTAGGAGCTCTGCATATTATTTGAAGTGGATACATAACTTCCCCGAGACAGCTGTCCCTAAGAAGTCCTGGGACCTTAGTCATCTGCAGATTATATAAGGTACCTAGATACAAGTACATGACAGGGGGGGCTGCATGGAAGCAAGGCGCGTTTCTCTCAGCTAAAAACAAGAATGCAGGGATATCTTATCGTTATCGTTCAACCAAAACTTTTTTTTATTTTTATCTTGTTCAGCACTGAAACATTTTCAATTGGGGTATTCTTCTTAGAGCTGGTTAATATCGCATCGTCAAAGACTCTTTTTCTTCCGGACCTAGCCATGGCAGTCCCGGCATCCTTACCAGCTTTACTGGACTCCTTAACAACCTCGTTAAATTCAGCATTCGAGGCCACTCCTAAAATATCCGGCATCGAACCAACCAAGGACGGAGTATCCCTCCTCGACGTCAAAAACGAGCTTCTACTCTCCTACCTACAAAACCTTGTCTTCCTAATTTTACTTAAGATCAGGAATGCAAGAGAAGCCGGCTCAGAGGAACTGGAAGAGCAGAACGGATCTGACCTCTCGGACACGGTTGTGAAAAAGTTGGTTGAATTACGACTATACCTTGATAAGGGAGTTCGGCCCCTCGAGGAGAAATTGCAATTCCAGCTTGATAAGATATTACGCGCAACTGATGATGCTGAGCGCGTTGCTTCTCAGGCGTTAGAAGATGCCGGTTCAGAGTCAGAATCGGAGTCGGATGAAGGAGACAGTGACGGAGATGCTTCTGAAAATGAGGCCCCTGTCCGACCTATAGTTGGTCCCTCAGCCAAGCAGTTTGGTCCCAGCTTCAACAACTTTGCGCCACCTTCAAATCCCGTAGGAATGGCCGCCATTACAACGACGGAAGACAAGACAGGTGCATACCGCCCGCCTAAGATTACCCCGACCGTTATGCCCACAGCCGAGCGGAGGGAGCGGCGTGAGCGCAGACCCATGAAGTCTGCCGCCGTCGATGAATATGTCGCGAACGAGCTATCGCATATACCAATTGCAGAACCGAGCATTGGAACGACGATCGTGTCCGGCGGCAGAAAGATGAAGACCGCCTCTGAGCGCCAGGAAGAGGACCGTAAGCGTGAATATGAAGAGTCCAACTACGTGCGTTTGCCGAAGGAGAGCAAGAAAGACCGCGCCAAGCGTAACAAGACTGAGGGACGCAGCGCAAAGGTGAACTTTGGTGGTGAAGACTGGCGGGATCTTGGTGAGGGCGTGGACCGAATCGAGAGATTGACCAGACGTAGAGAAGGCGGCAGTAGCACCAAGGCGCTACTCGAGAAGAGTCGTAAGAGAACCAGAGAGACGGTCGATAGCGCCCGTGGAAGTGGCCATGCCATTGGGACTCGGGAGATAGGCGAAAGGTTTAATAAGCGTCTCAAGGTCATGGAGGGCGGACGCAGAGACCGAGGCAAGCGTTAAGGATATACCTAATGTCAACTAAATATCATTGAATCCGGACTTATGGCTATCTATACATAAGGTATGCTAACTCCAAGATTCAACTAAAAGTACCACAACAAAGGTGTCAACCCTGATTATGGCCTTTGAACAGCCACCGGTTTTGTCTTCTTCCATATAATCATAGTTCCCTCAGGTCCTTTCATACTCATTACGTATCCTACACAGTCTAGCAACTTACAGCCAGATTACGTTCTCAAAAATAATACAACGAGAATTGAACCTCCTTTCCGCGATTAAACTACAACAGCGGGTCGCCGAAAACAATCCAGTACAGGGGATCCCGTACGAACGTCGAAGAATTTATCTCTCACGAGAGTCTTATCGAAAGGGTTTCTTTCAGTACCATCGATAGATGCGGGTCGCACAAATTTCGTAACATAGCATCGTTTCTTGCGATTGGAGAGTGGATTGCTGTATAGTAGACTATCATCAAGATAGTTATGATAGTCGCATCTGCCACGTTTGTGAGAAATGACATCGCGGCCATTAAGATTTGAGTCCAACATGGCGATTGTACGTTGAGCTTCTTGGTAGTCCGACCAGCCTGACACCGAATTTCCGGGGTCAGAGGTTTCTTGGATATCAAGACAGTCCGAGCGATGCCCATATGAGAGGCTTCTATCGTCAATAATTTCCTAAAAACTTTTACCGACGTCTCTACTCCGCTCGTCAGCCTCGGCATGCCCTATGCCGTTTCGGACCTGATCCTCCGCGGCCACCACGTGCTTAGGCAGTGCAAATCCCAAGCCGAAGAAGACGAAGAATGCCCACTTCCATCGGAACGGGTTAATAGCAACGCAGAAGAAGAACCACCAGAGCAGTTCGAGGTATGTAAAGAAGTCAAAGGCACCAGTTGGAGCTGTGGCTTTCAGGACCTTGGTCATATCGATCCAGCGTTTCATCCAGAACGTGGATGGGCGCGTTAAGGGGTCCACGAGAAACATCAGAAGAATCCGGGTGTATATGCCGATATGCCAATTGCCAACAGTACCAATAGCCGATAGATAAGTGCAGTTGATGGCCGAAATAGAGGGATGCTGCGGAGGGAACGTTTGGAGATACCAGTTGGGCGGGCCATACGACTCACTAAAGCAGTCATCCGGAAGGAAACTCAACGATGGCCTCTTATATCCGGTCGCCATGACTACCATGTCGCCTTCGATATTGACCTTTCGACCGGGGCCTCCCTTCGGCACTCCCTTATCTCTCTTGTTCACTAAGACACCTGTCTCGGTAAACTCTTCAATATCACACCGTATCCACTCAGCTTGGCCGGAACGGAGTTTGTCCATGACATCAGAGTTAACCATCGGCGTGTCCATAAATATGCCCTTATCGTTTGGTGCCAAGTCTTGTAGGTCTCGGTAGAAGAATTTCTTCAGCAGCGCCTCCGGGATAGCAGACAACATAGTCTCCTGCCCCCAAATATTCAAAGAAAGTAAGATATCAACAAGCCAGTTGCGAGGAATAATCCACTTGTCGCTGCGTGATAGGATATATATCTTTGATGCTCCCTCGTCCTATAGATAATATTGAGCATTAGTGAGGACTACCACAAAGTTCATATTCCCATTGGCCTGAAACTCCTCAATCGGATTTTTAGGGGATATCTGGAGGGTATAACATACAGAAGCATATTCCAAAGCTTCAACGGCCGACGCGCCGCCGCCGATAATTATCATGGATTTCTCTTTCGCGTCAATACTGTTTTCCATTAGTTAAGTAATTCGTGAAATAGCACCGCTTCGATACTCACCCAGTCAATTGGCTAGAATGGTAAATAGGATTCTTGAATTTTTCCATGCCATCTATCTTCGGCATCTTGGGGTCTCCGCAGGTTCCTACGGCCGCTATGATACCTTCGAATCTACCGTTTGCGGGGTTATTGATGATCCAGCGGCCCTTCTCATCTTTATACACTTTTTCGACTTTGGTATTGAATTTTGTTTTCGTGTCTAGTCCATATCGCTCCCATAGCTGCTTGACCTGGCTGACAATCTGCCTTCGGTCTGGATAACCATGTTCCCATTTAACAGACGGATGAAACCTATACATAAATGAATGGATTTGCAAGCTCGAGGTGTTGTTCACTTTCTGTTATACAATGAATCGTCAGCAAATATAAATTCGATCGGTTAGTACTCAATGGAAGGTTTAAAATACGTACGCTCCAGATGCCTCCCAGGCTGTTTTCGTCCCCAGCCTCGAATATCACCACGTCGAATCCGTGGCCAATGCAATGAGCTGCCGATGTCACACCGGTAATGCCTGCACCGATAATCGCAACCTTCGGTCTCCCCAGCCTCGTGCTTGGCCCCGGAGGTGTCGGGGAGAATAGCTTGTCTGCGAACCATTGAAATATGATGAAGTAGAATTGGAACTGCCACTGGATTATCTCGGATATAAAATGAAACGGATGAATAAGGGGATTGTCCAAGTCCTTGAGCCCTCTTCTAGTTTCGGCTCGAAGGTCGGACCAAGCCTCGGAGGCTTTCTCCTGAGGAGACATAACGGACTATGTACCTAAGCTTGGAAAGCCAAACGGGGAGAATAGCTGAATGCGCTTGTATACAAGCTTAGGTAGCTTAACGACAACAATGACAAGAGAGCTAAAACAACCAAAGTTCAAACTTGCTTGAGAGATAAAACAAGGTAGAGAGCTCTAATAATTAATATAGCAATTGATCTAATTTGAATAGCCAGACAAGCCAGGGGGGGTGGTTTACAATTGACGCTTCCATGACGATGAGCTTTGTCAGGGCCCATGGGTATAAGTCGAAGCATTCCGAGTAACCCTGTCCATTACGTCATTTAGCAGCAGCAGCAAACAAGGGAAAGAGAAAAGCTCTCCGTTGACATGTGAAGGAAGCTAAAAGCTACATGTAACATCTATCTACCGCACGGACCACAATTACGGTTGACCAGACAAGGTACTGTGCCAAAATGAAAAAAATCTGTGAGCTTAGCTTAAAAGGGTAGTCAGCCACAGGTTAGCGCAATTAGCTCGAATTATTACGGTACTTCGCACTTTTATATGGGAAAAAAGGATTATCTTTTCTAAATACATACATTATAACGTTATATATAATATGCTTTAAAAAGGTATGCTTACTTTAATCTTTTATTAAATAACTAACTATTATATCTACTTATACATTCAAATAACTTTACAATTCCAGCAATTACAACATTATAATTGGTATCATTTTATAGCCTTAATTGAAGCGAAAATAATTATCTAGGTTGCATGCTTATACGATGTATTGTTGCTAAGATATTTAAAGTCTTTTGAAAACAGTCGTCTCAAAGGGTATCACGTGTACGTACAGGTCTCTGGGATGATAGGTACTTAGGTACGGGGCGGCCTCTTACTCTTTTTAAGATGCGCGCCTTTCTATTGGCTAAATTTTACACCGCCCGTCTGGCAATATCCTTATCCTTATCCTTATCCTTATCCTTATCATTATCCTTATCCTTATCCTTATCCTTACACCACATCTCTGTTACAGCTTCATGTTCAATTCAATTCAATTCAATTTAAATGACGATGCAATGGCTATCTATCTTTACATATTGCTTTTACTTGGTCGCATACAGTCATTCCGAGGCAAAAAGGCTGAAAACGAGGTCTTTTTGAATGATCTCTGATATATGTATGTATGTATGTATGTATGAGGCTGGCTGGCTGGCCAATTAGGAGGCTTGTATGTATTGTATAAGGCTATTTGATTAATACCTTTGAGACGACTGTTTTCAAAAGACTTTAAATACCTCCTATCTTTACAACAATACATCGTATAAGCATGCAACTTGGATAATTATTTTCGCTTTAATTGAGGCTATAAAATGATACCAATTATAATGTTGTAATTGCTGGAATTGTAAAGTTATTTGAATGTATAAATGTGGGTGGTAGTTGAAAATTGAGTTGAAAATTGAGTTGACAATTGAATTGACAATTAAATCCTTTAATTTGATTGGCCAATCCTTTGCATTATATTGGTTAAACCAATATTTCTATGACAATAAACCGTAATAAGGCTTAGAAGTACACATTTAATATTTTCTAAATTGTGGCAAGTGACCCCTTACCAACTTTAGTTTAGTGTGCGATTATTTTTTTTTTTTTGGCACAGTACCTTGTCTGGTCAACCGTAACAATCCATCATTTATCTCATGCATGTGCCGACGATAGCCCGACAACAAATAGCGACATTACATTAGTTACCTGTAAAAGACAAGCTTGTATTTTTTTGTGTGCAAGTAACACGTCCTAAATCCCAAATCCCAAATCCGAAGTCCGAAATTAAGAGAAAGAAGAAAAAAACATAAGAAACGTTAATTTGGTAGTCGACAGTAAACAGTTGGAGCCCAAAACCCTTTATCATACACCAATATTATGATCATGATCCTAAATATGCGTTTAAATACCCAACCAATATCCTAGGTACCTCATACATTTCATGTAATTCATGTAACTCATGTAACTACCACGAGTATTTGAATCCCAAATAGCCGTTGGTACCTATCGTATCCGACAGAGGGGACACTTCCACCTCATTCTCCTCGTTCGTTCCGACCTTGTATTTGGTTTCCGGCTGGTCTTCGCTAAAGTCGTCGCCGTCTTCCAAGTATAAGCCTATTAACGGAGTCGCAATGACCGAATCAACACCACGAGATATGCTCTTGGCTCCGAGTTCGGGCAGGTAGTACTCCTTCGCAATGGTAGAGCATACGGTGGCATTGTTTGTGATCTTCAACTGGACATTGCCAATAAGACTCTCCTCTTCGGGGTCTACCGAGTTGACTACGGGTCTAGCAATTCTCTCTTCCAGTTCCATGATGTACTTGTCGGCTAGCACTAGTTGCTCGTCTGCGTTGAACGTCAGGAAGGGAACAATCTCGGTAACCCGGCTAGTCAATCGAGCTCCAAAGCTAGCAATGCAATCATGACGAAGTTGGCGGGAGAGCTGTTTCTTGAGCGCAAAGTGCTCCAATCGTAAATCGGAATCGCGTAATAGTTTGCTGTTCGCCTCACAGAAGCTGCGAATCGTGTTGTCGAACTTGTCTGTTGACAAGACCCAAATAGTGTCGGCACAATCGATCTTCTGGCCGTTTCGACGGTCCGTGTATTCACCTATGAAGTTTAGTTTCGACTCATATCAACCTAAGCTAATTGCTTCACGTACCTAAGTCAAAAGGACGCAAAAGCGCCTTGCGGATATCTTCGCTTGTCTTCTCGAACTCTTCGATAAACACGATACTTCTTTGTCCAGTTTTTCTAGCGAGGAAGTTGTTCAAAGGTGAGCCTAGCTCATGACCCTGCTCCGGTGCTTTGAGGCCGAATAGCTCGTCCTCTCCCGTGATGTGGGTATAGTCAACCCTCTCAATATCTAAGGATAGGAGGCGCCCTAATTCATTTACGAGGTCACTCTTCCCGTGGCCTTTAAGCCCACCGAAAAAGAGCACCAGCGGCTTCCTGCCTGGTATAGCGAGATTTCTATCGAATATTAGTCTGGTGGATTAGGGAGGACTGGATTCCTGACACTTACACCAGGAAGCTCTTCTTCAAAGTCCATGCTGCAAGTCGTTGCCCAATAATAGTTTGCTCCAGGCCAAGGATCTCTTCCACATTTCTTCGCAGAGCCAGCGTTCGTTCGCGACCGGATGGCGGTTCTAACCTCGATGCTCTCCAAAGTAGGTATCGCTGTGTTAGACTCAATGCGGCGGATAACTGTGGCCGTATCTCTGGTGAGCACCAGAGTCTCTCGCCATCTACGATATCTTGTAGCTCTTTTTCGTCAGGACCAGACTCCGGAAGGTCACGATCGAATGGGTCATAGTATGCCGCGGGAATGACAAGGGGTGATGCGCCAAGTCTGAGCAGCGTCTCTACAGTCTTAGCCGCTTGTAGACGAGGGCGAGCGCAGCGCAGAATCGCGAAGGCTAAGACGGGGAAACGAAGAGGTCCATAGGTAGCGTTTGGATCACCGCCGTATTTGATCCAGTGGCGAATGAGTTCCGCGTCATTGGTTTCGACGACAAAGAAAATTGCCGGGAGTCCCACGATTTCTTCATTGAGACTATCCTTTAATAGATCTGCGTCAATCTTATGGTAATAGCTCAGATATTCGCGCAATTCTTCGGCCGAATATCCATTCTGGATAGTCCCAATAACTCTCTCGAGGTCAAACCAGCCTGCGTTACGTGGTTCGGCTCCTAGGGGCTCATTGGGAGGAGGGATACGGGGCAGTTGATCATAGTATGTGATTTCAGGGACTGGCTCTGGCTCTTCGGTGTTAGGGTTCTCATAACCCTCATCAACCGAGAACGCAGAGCTAGCGTTAATCTCGACAGTCAGTCCTACGGATGCATTCCGTTCACCGTCATCATCCGATATGTGCGTAAAGCCCGTGTCTGAGAAATGAACCGGGCTTTCTTTGCCGTTCGCTTGATAAGCCTATATCGTATAAGTTACCCGAACACATCGATACATCTGAGAAGCTAGAAACCTACCCAAGTTTTAGTGGTCGCATCTACTGCGTCTCGATCATGATTCTATACCAAACCGGTTAGTTAAGCGCATCTGAGAATGGGTTTTGGAAGAGCTTACTCTGATGAACTCGCCCAATGCGTCAAGAGTCGAAGTTGGGGCTGGGTCTGCATCGTGGAATGAGACCGGATGTTCATAGTCTTGGTCAACTGATCCCGGCTCTGGCTCGGGTGTTTGATCCCGCGCTAGATCTGGCAGGAGGTCCGGTTCCGGTTCTTCTTGTGGCTCCGGCTCCGGCTCCGGCGGCTCTAGCTCTAGCTCCGGCTCTAGCTCTGGCTCTGGCTCTGGTTGCGGCGGTTCCGGTAGCACTTCCTGAACTGGTTCTAGTACTGCTTCAGGTTCTCGTGCCCATTCAGGTTCGGATTCAGGATCGGGATCTCGCGCCCATTCTGGTACCTCTTCCTTCTCTGGTTCAGGTTCAGGTTCAGGTTCAGGTATCACTTGTATCGATGGTGGCTCCGGTACTCGTTCTGGAATCGGCTCTGTCTTCGGCTTTGGCTCTGAGGGCAATTCTTGTACTGGTTCTGGAACCGGCTTTGATACTGGCACTGATTTGGGAGCTCCATCTGGCATTCGATTCGGCTGTGCTTCTTTCCCTGCCTCTGGGGCTTTCTGCGCCGACCTTCTCTTCTTCTTCGCCATGTTCAGGAACGACTGGCTTGGCTTTCTATGGATTAAATTAAGGATATAAGACTCAATTTTGAAGGTGAAAGAATCCATAGAATATATACATAGGTAGCTCTATGGTGTTTTGGATTCAAGCTGGGAGTGAAATTTCTAATTTCATCACATCCCCAACAAGAGGGAGACACGCTCTTAACGGCTCCAGATTTATGAGCAGCGCACTGATTGTTTTTGGCGCCAATGGCACTCTTGATACACCGACGAATGGCTGGGGCGGCATCCATTTCAATTTTTTTTTTCTGTCGCCGCTGCAGGTCCAGCAATGTTGCATCAACTAGGTTAACAACCAGACCAGGTCGATTTATTAGGGGTGTCTATAGAGAAGTTGAAGTAGCGACATATTATTACCTGCTTCGTTATACCCGACCATGGCCAATGATACTCTAACCCAAAACATACAAGATCCAATTGCGCGTCTAAGGCGGTCTGGTGTCTGGTCTGGGGTACACAGCCTTGACCGCCGAACACCACACAATTCATGCAGCTGCTGAGATGCTGAGAATTAGGCTTCAAACCCAACTTTGCGCTCTCCAATTTCATGCATACCGCTCTGCAGCTTTCCGCTCCCTATTCCAAAGAACTCGACAAATGAACGTGCACCCGAGCTCATATGAACACGTGCTCTTATACCAAACTCATACGAATCTAGCGGGTTAAGTGTACCTAAAGAAAGACTTATTTGGGCGTGCATGTTGGGGAATGATCGTATCTCACATTAAAAACATAGGGGGTCGTCTATTTGTTCCCCAGTTTGCCCCGTTCAATATTGCGGTGCCAATACTTTCGACAACACAGAGCTAACAAGACGATTTAATATGATACACGACAACCTGTCAGCAGTGACGTGGTGGTCCAGGTGAGCTAATAATGAAGCTGGATGCAGTTCCTGACAACACTATTGGTCCATTGCATGCCGCTCATTCTGATGGGTATGGGCGTATGCGTGATGACGGAACCTAGATTGGGTATTAGACGAGGCCCCCAGAGGCCCAAGAGTAAATACCCAATCTCGAGTTCTGGAACAAGTAATACTGGAGTCAAAATAAAGACACCCGTAACGTGGGCCCTGGTAGCAAATGGTAGATGTTAACCCTATGTGGCGAGCAACCACAGAAATATATTTCACGGCCTGACACGAATGCGAAAAATGCAATCCAGGGAGTTTTGATTAGCAAATTGTACCAGAGCCGCTCGGGCATCTCCTTTTTAACCAGTAAGAATTCCGACAATTCAGCATTGGAATCTATATTGTGGGTATATGAAGGCACCGAAAATTGACCTAATAATATCGCAATCCGGCCCTGTCCGTCACCGCTCCAGCCCAAGAAAAAAACAAACAAACAAACAATCATTTATTCCATTGACTAAGGACAGGCCGTAAATCTCCCCGAGCAAAAGATCACAGATGCACTTTAAGCCGTAGTGCCTAATTGCTATTGAAGTAATTAACAGCGAGCACAGGCCCAAGCTTAAGCTCTTTCTCCCATCCGTCTAAGTCGAAGCGCATGCGGCGCGAAACCCCGACAGGCTTCCCGCCAGCCGGTGCATGTTTCTTGACGTCGAAGCCCTCAGGCTGCTCGTACAGGAAGAAAGCATATCGGTGTGGCGCGCTTGGCGGCGGCGGCGCAGGGCCAATGTAATTTACTATGAAGGGCGCCGTAGACTTGAGGGTGAATCCGTTACCGTCGGCGGCTGGCGTGGGATTCAAGTCCGACTGGATCCAGTGGAGCACCGGACCTAACACGCTGAAGGACGGGAACGGAGCGTCGAGATCGAGGTTTACTATTAGGTAAGTTTTCTCGGGCGACGCCGATGCGAAGCTGATTTCTGGCTCTGATTGGGCGTCTAAGTGATTCAAGTTAGCCCGAATTTGGTATATTCCATAGGTAGACAACAGTTGAGTCTTTCTCAATTATGTCTTTAGCCATCTATCACTTACCGGCCTTTGGGATATACAGCCCAGGTTCGACGTTGGCATGCTTGCCGACGCTTAAGCCCAGAACTTTGGACTTGTCGTTCTCGATGAGCGATAGCGCCGTCTTGACGCTGTTATTGGCAGGCATTTTCAATGCTTCTAACTATGTGATCGGATAATGTAGGCGATGAGTTGAAGAGCTACGTTTATGATTGATGAGATATAAGATGAGTCTGACGTAGAAACATTAGGACAGTAAGGCCTTGATATTTATTCTTCGCTACTTGACTGAACTTACTATATCTGGACTCTTTCCCACCCAACATAAAGATGGGGATTGTTATAAAGTGTGATTGTTGGACGGAGATTAGCGGAATTGACTCGATAAAGTCCGCCAAGATTGCGACTCTAATAATGAGAAACCTGGATATGACGGGTCCAAAGTCGTGGTATTTGTTTATGTAACTGTCATCAGCGGTAGAGACAACGTGATTCAATCTGATATTGTAACCGACTGACATCTCTTTAATCCCTATATCCGCATAGGAGCACTATAAACATGGCAAAAGACTTAATGATTACCTACTTTCCCCTATAGAATGTAAAGTACATGATATCTCACTAGAAGAGTTCATGTTCTAAGCTTTGCATAGGTATATTGCATATATTCTATTCTCCCCTTCTCCCCGCCCTATGAAGCTTAAAGCAAAGATGGTAGCCGTCGGCGGAGCCTTTAGTGTTGTGATCACCAGAATTGCCGCCCCACTTGCCCCGAAATATGCGTTTCGGCTCCGGTAATACAACATCGGCAAATCAAGGCGGACACGGATAAAAAAAAGTAGACTTAAAACAGGCAATATTATGTAGTTAAACATTAGACAACTTATTCAAGTCCTTGCGCGAGTATAGACTGACTACCTAAGTACCTAGTTAATAGATTGACTTCTAGTTGCATATTTACTTGTACCTTTTATCTCCTTAGTGATGATAGTGAAATATACAATGTTTGATATTTAACCTGAGTTTTCATAACTTGAGAAGGAAGAATCGGCATATACTCAAGTCCCAGTGTGACGCATTCTTTATGGCAATGTCGTATATCTCGAATTGTTTTGAGGCTCAAGTGCTAGCTGCAAAATCTATATCCAAGGACTTGGTTGTCAGCGAGACTATCTCAGATAGATCAGGGAGTACATAGGTAGACGATTGGTCTTCTGTCGGGTCCCCATCGGGACCTATGGCACGAATTTCTAACAAGGATTCTAGTAACGGACGATCGTCAGTGCGTCATTGGCGATCAAGTGGGTTTCGCTGGCCTTCACCGAGTTGCTTGGCGTCAATGGCGGAGCAATTCTGGAGAGGATTGACCGATAGTAACCAAGCTTAGTTACTTGAACTTGATAGTCAGGAACAAGGCCTAATTCAGGTTAGCGAGGTCAAATCCTAGGAAGGGTAGAATGGCGCTACAGAAGCCCAACTAATAATATCAGTACTGTAATAATATGAAGCCTCTTTAAATCCTTTCCGACTTGCTATTTTGAACACCTTCCTTATATTATCTCTAGGCAACTAATTAGCTAAATATGATTACGCCTACGAATTCTTCGCGTGCTCCTCGGCGCTTAGTGCAAACCCAATTCGCTTGATGCATCTCACTACCAAGAACAAAAGATCCTAGACGGGACCGAAGTTGTCAAATTGAGGCGGATGAGTCCAAGCCATCGTTATATTAATTATGTAAGGTATTGCTTTGCCGAGCTATGACAAGAGTCGTTATCCCAGTAGTAGAATGCATGGCATTACCCCTGAATAAATTTCATTCAGTACCAATAGCGTGAAAAGCATTCGAGTCTTCAACTGCAGTGGGAGTTCGCAACATGCATAGTGTAGCGAATAAAAATTCCAAAGGTCAGTCTCGACGCAGGTAGAGTTATGAGATGTGTATAGTTTATTGAGACTATTAGATAGGGAGTGTGAACTTAAGAGTTACATATTAGTTCTAAACTGTTTACCTAGCTGGTAAGCACTATAATCCAAACCCCTGTCTTAGGTACTTTAGTTTCAACACGTTCACTGTCACATTACACACCAATAACCTCTAGCAGCCTTCATTACAACCAGCTCAAGGGAGATTCAGGTTTATGATCACGATTTGACAAGTCATTTAGAGAAAGCCCGCGGAAAGCCCGGAACAAAACTCAGAAGAAGGTTGTGAGGAGGACGCTACATGTGATGGCGAGAGTAAATGTGGAGTATCAGGCCCCTTTTATTAATAGATAATTCTAAATCCTCAAGCTAAGTATTCCATACACCTGCCATTTTCGGATGCTATATCTGCTTTTGAAACATGTTTCTATCATGCCAGAATCGTATATGGTATAAGTCGAGCTGTATCTAGGCATCATAGAAAGTGTTGCAGACTTGGCAATGTTTCGTAGAAGTGCGACGCCTTCACCGTTGTCGTAACTTACATGTATTTAAGAAATGGACAATAACGTCTTGTTTCCATGAACTTTCATTTCTACAGTAAACATTAGGTCGCAGGTGCCCATTTACACATACAGCAACTTCGAAGCTGGCCTTCTTTCTTTTTCGAATCACTATCATTAATCTCAAATACTAAACTTGATATTTCCCAATATGCCTTCTTTAAGTACAGCACTTTTGGCTCTGGCCGCCTCAGCACCGGCAGTTCTAGGCCACGGCCACGTTCGAAGAGTGATCGTTGACGGTGTAACTTACCCGGGCTATGAGCGTTGGTCAAACGAAGATCAAAGCCAAGCTGTCACATGGCAATTCACGACGGAAGACGAGGGACCAGTTCCGGTAACATCACTCAGCGACCCCGATATCATCTGCCATCTTGGAGCGACAAATGCCCAAGCCTCGATCCCAGTGGCTGCCGGTTCCCAGTTACAGGTCGTACGTTTTAATACGATAGGCGGCTTCGAGCACCCCGGTCCCGAGATGCACTATCTCGCTCCGTGCGGTGATGCTGGTTGCGCCAATGTCGACAAGAACAACCTTCGATTCTTCAAGTTCTTTGAGAACGGTCTCGTTCAGGGCGGCATGGCAGATAGCCCTCAGTGGGAAACCCAGAAGTGGGCTACTACTGAAGTCCACAAGAACGTTCAGCCGGAGGGAGAAGGGTTTGTTGACACATTCACGGTCACCATTCCTGCGAACATCAGGCCTGGCCCTTACGTCCTTCGACACGAGATTCTTGGATTGCACAAGGCCCATGAAGGTCAAGCAGAGTTCTACCCTCAGGTTGGTAGAACCTTTACCTCCGAACCATTTTTGCATGCGTATTTACTGACTTGAAATAGTGCATCAACCTCGAGATTTCAGGCTCTGGTGACCAGCAACCGGAGGGTGTGCCTGCTACCGAAATGTATCACAGCAGCGACCCTGGTGTTGCTCTGGATATCTGGGTCGATCTTGAGTCGTACCAAATTCCCGGACCGGCAGTCTCTAACCTCTCCTTCAAGCGGGATACCAAAGCACGCGCTACCAAGCGTCACCCCCGAGACCTCAAGCACTAAATTCTCTCGCCGGTTACTTGAGGTAGACTTCCAGCAAGTCTTCTAAAATTATCTCACGAGCTATTACTGTATTCTATTCATTTTCTCTCCGCCTGCCCTGGACATACTTTACATTTCGCATGTACAATTGATTAAGATGTATATACTTGCCTTTTATATTCGACTTGTCTAAGATCTGGCCCTGTCTTTGTACAATATATAAATATCAAGAGCTTTACACAACGCTCGCATACTACCTGCTACCTGTTTTATATGGACGATTTTTTGACTTGCCTGATATCCGCCCTGATTTCCTCTCATTGCGATCTCTGGGAAGCCCTTCCTAGGCCTTACGCCTTTTTGTTGGGTCTCGATATTGTAAATGGCAAGTTGCCTTTATAATTACGAGAAACAACTATATCAACCCTTTACCGAAACAGGCAGTGAGTAGCATATAAGCGTTCCATATAAGGTACCTATCTAATCTGCATAGAAAGGTTGGCAAACCAATCTGCAAATAGAGCAATTCAAGATCCGTCGATTCGGATTAGCTTTCTCGCCGCGCACACTATTCATTGTACTTTGACAAAGATTCTGCGTCGAAACAACCATACAGTGTGGTCGATTATTACTGACAAGGAAACGAATATGAGATTGATAAAATTTTTCTTTGTTTCTTTACAATCCCTCGCATGATGGCTAAGTGCCTTTGTGAATGTCTCGTGGCATTATACCGCCACATTATTTATCATATTCCGAACTTAAACTTTTCAATCTAGAAAAATTCAGTCGATTCTATCAGTGCAAGTCCAACACTCTGTTCAGGATATTGCATTTCAAAAGCGAAATGGAAGCGTCAGTTCGTCAGCAGCCCCGGCGTGCTGCCCGGGATAAACATGGATTGGGTAGCCTACCACTAAAGAGCCCCAAACAAGGACATACGTCGGGTCCAGGATCGCCGAAGAAATCGCCCAGAATTGAAACGAGGTACCGCAGGAAGAAGGGGGCTATGTCCCATGCGAAAGCAAGAGCATTAGCGACAAAGGCTCTTGAGAAGAAGGTATCCTCAAGGGATCATGAATCTGCATGGCTGGAACAGAGTGGGCTTCTTGGTGTTCCCAAGAGCTTTCCGCAAAAGTCCCCTGGCATTCAAGGCCTGGCGTCCCCGAAATTACCCAAAGCCAAGCGAGGCCGCAGTAAGAAGAAGAAGTCGGAAGAGGACATGTACATGGATGATTTCCTGCTTTCCGACGACGAATTTGGACATCCCGGCGACCTTCGGAGAGCGGAACGCTGGATCCCTGATATGGAGCATCGACGCCGGCTAGACCAGAAGCCTAAAAATGTGCCCTCTCAGTTATGGATGTCCTACTGCCTCATGGATGACTACATGTATAGACAATCTCTGACTGACGAGGAGGTTCTGGAGCATCCCCTTATGGACGACGTTTTGGCGTTTCAACACGGCGGTAGCAGCGATAAGGTAGTTCCACCGCCTGGTTTTCAATGGAACGAAAGAAGGAGATTGGTACCTATTCTAGAGAATTGAGCATGAGAAGAAGCCAATATGGCATTGACAAAAGTTCTTGTAGTTTAGTTCACTTGCCTGTGTATGAATTTTCAATAAAACAAACACTTATGGTATTTTAGGTTGCGACTTGAGTGATGCTTGTAAATTGTGAGACATTCATAATTGGTAAACTTGTACTGCAATATGAAATGGTAAGTCCTGTATCATTAGGTGCCTAGGTGGCTAATTAAATTCTAGATTCAAGTATGGTAGATATAATAATGAAAATATCAAATCAAGATGCCTTCTATAAGTTATTAACTCATTAGAACTTTATCTCATCAACAAGGATGAGACTTAAGTGAGAAGAAATAATGTGTTAACAAATGGCTGAAAAAAGGGGACACGGTTATGTTAAAAATGCCCCGCGTTCAAAAGAATTGCGTGATTGATTGAACTCCGCTTCAACGTTCCCTCATCAACAATCATTCAAGATTCGCCTGAATAATTGATCTGAGATCAGTCTGCCTTAACAAAATGACCTCGTCATCGGAAACAGAAGACGGGGCCTCCAGGCCTCTCCTTGCCGACCAAAGAGATGAGCGGGATGCTAGCTCACCCGATGGTGATGCCCCGCCACCAGCTCCAGCTCCAGCTCCAGCTCGGAATGTAGGCACATTCACAAAGAACCTCGGCGCTCTCGAGGCTTTCGCCATCGTTATCAGTGTTGTTATCGGGAGTGGCATATTTACCTCCCCTGGATCTATAGACACCAACGTACCGTCTCCGGGCGCTGCTTTGGTTGTTTGGTTAATTGGCGGCGTCCTTGCGTGGACCGGCGCCTCGACCATGGCAGAGCTGGGAACAGCGATTCCCGGCGAAGGCGAGTTAATCTCATATATAAATCATCCTGCATACGTGTAAATGAGGTATAGTGGCTAATTTATATCATAGGCGGAGTGCAGCCGTACCTTCAATACATATTCGGAGATGTCTTCGGCTTCCTCGCCGCCTGGACATGGATTGTAGCCGTCATGCCGGCCACCCTCGCCATTCTCAGTATCGTGTTCGTCGAGAGCATTTACTCTGCAATGGGCGTAACCGATCAGGCCGGGAAGATTGAACATAAGCTATTTTCTATTCTCATTCTGGTCGTCATCAGTGTCGCCAATTCTATCAGTACTAAAGCCAGTACTCGCCTCAATAACTTCTTTGTGGTCACTAAGTTCATCAGTATCGCGGGAATCGTGATAGCTGGAATAGTAGTTGCCATACTTCAGACCACCGATCCGGAAAGGGATATTGGAGGGCGAGACTGGTTCAAGAAGCCTTGGTTTGGCAATCGAGAAGTTCTTAACCCCGACGGGAGCAAGACGGATTGGAATGAGCTTGGCGAATGGGAGATTCTTGGTCATTATTCTGCTGCGTTATATGGGGCATTATGGGCTTACTCTGGATGGGATAAGGTGAGCTTCTATTCAAACAATTTTGGTCTAGATGAGTTGCTCAAATAACTTCGCAGGCAATTTATGTCTCGGCCGAACTTCGATCACCAGCGCGTCAACTTCCACTCGCGATCAATAGCGCCATCCCGACGATAATACTCTGTTTTATCACCGCGAACGCTGCCTACTACATATTACTTCCATGGAACGTGGTTTCGACAACGGATAGTGTTGCTGTGGTAAGTACAATATATCTAATATGATATGATATGATATGATATCTACTAAATTGTTGAGTAGACCGCTATAACCCGTATTCTCGGACAAGGGTTTGGCATCGCCGCCGCTGCTCTTATCTGCCTGGTCGTCGCCGGCTCCCTTCTTGGCAATTCGTTTGTCGCTGGTCGCATGGCGGTCGCGGCAGCAAACATGAACTGGTTTCCTCGTATCTTCGCCTCCGTCGGGTACATTGGATTGAAACCTAGGACGGAAGATGAGCAGATATTTCCCAGTACGGCGCGATCAGATGCTCCCATTAACGCGATCTTACTCTCGACTATTCTTTCAGCCCTATACATCCTTCTTGGGAATTTCCGTGCTCTCTTGACATTCAACGGGCTGGGCGAATATTCCTTCTTCTTCCTAACTGTTCTAGGCGCTATTGTTCTTAGATTCCGCGAACCAAGACTGCGACGACCATATAGACCATATATTCTGGTCCCGATAATATTCGCAGTAGTCAGCGGGTTTGTGGTAATTAGAGGTGCCTTCTTCGCACCTGTGTTAGCACTCGTAGTTATCATTGTATGGATAATTGGCCTTGGGTTCTATTGGGTCAGGAAACGATTGGCTTTAAGACAAGAAGAATAATTGATGGATAGTTCTCTGCTTTTGCAAGGGCTCTTATTCCTCGCTGACATATTCGCGAGAGACGGATAGTTCTTCGCGATCCTCCACCGCCGGATTCAGTTGTATTACATATCGTTCACGATCTCCCTCATTCACGCTATCACTTACAAGGCCATCCATGTCGACGTACTTCAAGATGAACTTGCGTCTTAATGCCCGAACGCCCTTATAGATGGAGCGCGCCCCGAGTTCTTCCTTGTACGACTTCCTAGCTATCTCCTCGCAAACTTTTCCGTCTTCAACTACGCGGATATTCGTATGGCCGACCAAGTGGTTGGTTCCTTCGTCGATAGGGCGTCGAACTTCATCTATAAATTCAAGAAGGAATTTGTGAGCGACGACAGCTTGCTCACCCTTGTCGAAGGGAAAGAACGGTGCAATTTCGTCAATGCGGCCTGTAACTGCGGGCTATAAAATAGTCAATACGATATAATGCGAGGCATTTTTCCAGTGTAGATAAATGAAAAGCAAACATAAACTAACCGGAAAACGGCTCATGTAGAGTTCTTCGAGCTCGCTTTGGAGGGGCTCAATCGATACATTCGCCACATCTTCATCTTTGCTACACTTAGCAAGATATTGTGAATGGAATCGAGAGATGGCATCATCCCCCAAGTTCGTAGCTAGGATCCAAATAACTCTTCGACAATCTAATTCGGCATGATCGGACTCCCCGCGACGATCACGGTACGTGCCTAGTAGTATGTAAGTTCTTCATATACCAGGAAAAATACGGCTGTGGAAAGGCGTACCATCATCCATGACCTTGAGTAGTGCATTCAGTGTGTTATAGTCTGTTTTGTCAAACTCATCTAAAAACACAACGCACCGTTTTCCTTGGTTATCCACAAGGAAGTTACTTAGTGGCGCGCCATCCCTATTGTCCTCATACCCACATGGACTACCAAATAGCGCCATCTGGGAATTGATATGAGTACAATCAATGGTAACATGCCGAACCGACAGCAAAGAACCCATCTGGGTAGCGAGTTCTGTCTTTCCGTGGCCGGAAGCACCCGCAAAAGCTATCACAAGAGGCTTCTCGGTGTCTTGCGCCATATGAGTATAGACTGTGTCTATAACTAGCTTCGTAGTTAACTCCTGGCCAATAATCCGGAAAGGTAATCTCAGGAGCGCTGTCATTTTCAAGGCTGCGGCTATCTGGAGCATACGCCTTGCGGGTTTTCTGAGACGGCTAGCCCTCCAGAGATAATATCGAGTCGTCAGATCAAGCGACTTGGCTAGTATAAGTCTGTACTTGTTGACACACTATTTCTCGGAATCCGAAATTTCATCGCTGTCATATTTCGTCGCGATTGGTGTTTTGACATAGTTCTTCCACATTTCTCTAGGTATCGCTAGAGGGTCTGCTCCGTAGGATAGCAGTAATTTGATCATTTCCAAGCTGGCGTGTCCATTTCCTGTAGCACGCATAATGGCAAATGCTAACAGCGGGACGTCTTCGAAGTCTCTAGAATTGGCATCGCCGTTATATTCGAGAATCAGCTGAACGATCTCAGCGTTTCCAGTGTCAACTGCATAGGTCATAATACGAGGGCCCTTAACGTAATGTTCCAGAGACCTACTAACTTCCTCTCGAGGAAATCGTTGGAGGTATTCTTTGATACTTCTCTGGCTGCATTTCTGCGAGAGTGCAGTGGTTAACGTGTCAGCGGAAAACTCAGCGGAAAACTCAGGGCACTCCCATGAAAGCGCGATCTCTGGGGGATGATCGGAATGATCAAATTTCAACTCTGGAAGGTAGAACAGCGATTCTGCCGTACGGGGATGAATTGGGCTGTCTCGGGGCATCACGGCTTGTTGTGCTCATGTAAGTGGAGTTCTACTGAGGGGGGAAGGTAAGAATCAGAGGACTTGACAATAGTGGAAATAATGATATATGAACTGTATAGGACTTAAATTGACCAACTGAGATTCTTCGAGAGTGAAGGGTGAAGCCTGATTTATATACACATTCTTGCTAAGATGTCTGGTGCTATACCTGGCAGCAGTCCGCTAGCCACTCATCTCAGCGGACTATTACAGAACTAGAGATTTCATATTTGGGTTTCCAATCACTAGCTAGTGACGGGTACTAACATCGTTTGAAAGAAATATTGATACAGCTTCGTTTGACCGAAAACGCACGTATCCAACGTAGGGTATGTCAACTACAAACGCCGCCACACACCTTGTATTCTAGACTAGTACATTGGTGCTAACCGGCAAGGCATCTGGCCGTCAATGGGGGCCTACCATAAGTTGATAGATCACTTTGGGTCTCTATCAGCGTTTAGACGGTAACCGGCACCTCCCTAACCGTTTATAAAACTTTCAATACTTTCTACCGCCTGTTTCGTTTGCTGTATTACTCACGGTAGGTACATCTAGGTATTTCCTCGTCGTTTGGGAATCTAACCTAGGTAATTTCTACGGTACGTACCAATGTAACCTCCCGTTATTATTGGAACTCCTTTTCCTGATGCTCCATTAGTAAAAATACCGGGCTGGTTCCTTCTTGCATGTCTAATATGTGACTTGGAAATAGTTGCTATCGATCTGTTCCGCGTTCTATCATATCAACCCCTATTCCAGATTACGTACCAGGTACCAGGTAGGCCCGAGTTCCGGGATTGCACGAGCCAAGCGGGGTTGATAGCTGACGCGAAAAACACAACATGTTGTCAAAGAATGGAGGAGAGTTCCCGAACCTCGCTAATGGTCGTGTCAAATACAGCTTATAGCCTTGATAGACAGGCCTCGCCAGTATTGACGCTGGTTGGATAGCTATAACACACTCGTTGTATCAGTATCATCAAACTAGGTGCTGGTCTCTGTAAGTGTAGTAATTTTCATCTAGTCCCTGAAAAGCACGCTCGAATTCCCCAACCTCAGTCTCGGTGGCTGCTAAGGGACGCCATCTAGCATAGACACTTATAGGTTGAGGGGAAGACGACATGATAGAAAAAGATAAATTATATAAGGAGATACTTAGTGATTGCGCATATAAGACAGTACATTTAGAATAGTATATCTAGAAGACAATGAATATATGAATAAGAAAAGGTATGAAGCTAATGGCTTTTGCGCCGTTGCCGTAGCAACAATCACGCGTCATTCTTAGGCTACTATATTCTGCGCTTAGGCATAATGAAATATTGCCAAGCTACGATAAGTATTTAGTGAAGGCATTGGCATTATGAATATTACCCCTTTTCATTACGTCCGCGCTGAACTTGGTCGACCCATCATCCCAAAATCAAACGAAGTTGGACATGAATTCTGATATTATTAGATAAGTGCCTGCATTATATTTGATACTTCTATAGTCTTAAGTATCGCTATTTGGCTTTGGCGAGAAATAGGTACATACTATAGGTTAGAGGGTTATGTGTACTATACATACCCTAATATGGCCAAGGCAATATGGCAAAGTCCTAGGTTAAACAGCTTTCTTAGTCTAACAGGTAAGCACCTATCAGCAAGGTATTATTTTTACCTATAGAACAAGGCCGCGAGGCTCCCATGGAATCTAAACGTACATCCTATAATAAAACCAAGTTGGAATCCATTAGTACCCCGCCATTGCTTTCATCAAACCCATAGAGCTTCAAAACTTATTAAGTTGCCTTTAGCTATGGCCAGTACAGAACGGATCTTGATAGACCCAAGTTGGAAATACTTCTCAACATCTTCTCAGCGGAAATCCAACATATCTCAATACTGTCCTAGGCAGCCTTATCTTTCCCTTACCTTACCCCTGCCTGACCTGCCAGATGCCGCTCTGTTCGTCCGTCGTCTTCAACTCACAACAACCTCACATGACCAAGGTTATAGTGGTAACCCCGATAAATATGGAACATATGAGGGCTCGTTTACTCACTTTGACGTTCAGGTGAAGGAGCCAACTGGTCAAGATCGGGTCAAGCGTCAAGAATTTGCGCGAAATATCCGTGCTTGTCTGGAGCCAAGAAAGCATGTTGTTTATTGGGTTCTTACCCCAGATCTATCATACTCTGTTCGAAATTCTAACCATGGGCCGGCCAACGACTGCGCCTGGCTGTCTGTTATTCGAGGCGGTGATACGGTGCAAATCGTCCCCAACGCTGAATACCCAGGTTGGATCAACTTTGTCCTCGAGGCATGCATTGAGGTTTGGATCGAAATAATCGAAAATGCTAATTTGTCAAGATCCATAACATACACGTCAAGTGTCCTCTCGATGTATCATGTACTTGATGGGTTAAGAAAAGAGATTCGTCTCGTAATCATTGAGCCGTCAATGGATCTCGAGAGCGATATATTACAGATTTCCTTGGAGCATACCTATTTAACTGATAATGACCATCTTACGTACGAGGCACTCTGGTACTGCTGGGGAAATGCTGGAGAACACTGCTGCATATCATTAAAAGGGCCGAACCAATCCCTACCAGCAATTGAAACTTCGATAAGCAGGAATCTTTTTCTTGCTCTCAAAGCATTGAGATATGAGCGTACTGCACGGAGCTTCTGGGTCGATCAGCTATGTATTAATCAATCGGACTTGGAAGAACGTGCTGAACAAGTCGCGCTGATGGGCGACATTTATACGAAAGCGAAGCACGTACGCGTATGGCTTGGGGAACTAGATGAGAATACAGGTATTCAACCCTCCACAGGTATCCGATTATCTTGCGGACTACATTGCATTCGTCCCCCGGTCTCGTTTAGATATCTTAACAGTGTTGATAAGTGCGCTAGAGATGAGAGCAACAGATCCCCGTGACAAGGTGTTTGCGCTTCTTCCATTTGGGAAAGAAACATATGATATTAGAGATTTACCAGAATTGGTGAAACCAGACTATAGTAAAAGTGTACGACGCGTCTATGCCGACTTTACACGCTGGTGGATATGGCACCATCGTTCTTTAAGGATCCTTTCCGCAGTACATACGCTTACTGGCCGCACATGGCTTAACATGTCCAGGTGCTATACATCCGACACGGATTATGGGAGAAAGTCGGATATCCCTTCTTGGAGCTTCTGGTCCGATGGACGTAGCGAATGGAGGCGAGCTACGCTCGGTCTTGAAGAACATGGACCATACAATGCTAGCAAGGGATTTGAAGTTGATATCGATCTTCTCGAATCTACTATAAAAAAAGTCAGAGTCATATGAATTGGCTCTAAAAGGAATCCGGATCGGTAGAATATGCTCTACTACACACTATCCTTTCCACCGTAGACCTTTGGTATCGGAGGCCGTGCATCAAGTCTACGCCAAAATCTTCGACCCGGCTGGTACGGTCAGTACCTGGCGACACGCAAAAAATATCACACATCTTCCACTGCTCGATCAAGGTCAGCTGCCTTATCACTACTTCGCCCACTGGCGCGATGTACCTAGAGACTCGCTCGATTCCAGTGCAGGGCAAACGGACCCTAGCGCCCCCAATTATCTCCCATGTCACGGGAAGTGCATGTTCTCTACTCAAGAAAACGAAGGCCTTTGCCCGAATGGGGCTCAAGTTGGAGACATAGTTGTGATACTGTTCGGTTCGAATGTCCCCTATATATTACGGGCCGGCGCTTCACCAGGCCAATATTTCCTTATTGGAGAGTGTTACATCGACGCAGTTATGCATGGTGAAGTATTTGACAAGGGAGTTGTCCCGAAAGAAGAAGTATTCTTGCTAGTCTGATATTTGCCAATCATTTATGTATAGTTACGCCTGGGTGCTTTGAGCATTGTCACAGATTGTACGCAGGGAACTCTCAGCTTCGCGGATAATCACTAATTCGTACTCGACTGTCATCCCATAAGCCTGCCAATACTGTTCTCTTGCCAGTCCATGGAGAACGTGAATGCATTACTGCATAGTTCTATTGGCACATTAGGGAAATGATCGAGATTTGGTTCTGACGGTCATTCAAAAAGAAAGGCATACATACGTCAAGTAGAACAATATCTCCAACTTGCCATTCAATTAATACCTGGAGAGATTCTGCCAGTGAGAGTGCTAAGTTGAGATACTCTTTCTCTATCGGTGTACCATCCCCATACTCAGGAGGTGGATGGTATGAGTCGTCGTCGCCTCGGTAGGGAGGCTCTGTCGCTCCATGGTACTTGCTTCGGCCCCATGCACTCGTAACATTACCAAACCATGTGGATAGACCGGTATCTTCATGCTTCCTAATGACTATGCTCATCATCAGTTTCAGAGTTTTAGACGTATGAAGTCGAGGACCTTACTTGGAACGATATGCGTCACGCTCAGTGACCCATCATCATGCCATTGAAAGTGGTTACTATGCCGTCGGACTTCCTTTTCAATTTTCTGCCTAATAACCTCCTTATCGTCACCTGGATTCACATGTTGGCCGTATGCGCCAAGGACACTTGTCCCTGTATTTGATTTCACGTCCTCTAACCCATATCTATATACGTATTTGACCCCCTTTTGAAGCAACTTCTCGATAAACTCAGGTGCTCGTCTCTTCAATGCGGCTGCTAGGCCAAGACTAGAGATAATTGGTGTCTCGCCCCCTAAAAAGCAAGTTAGGTCATGACAGAATTAGACAAGATGTTGGATATTCTAATTAAATACCAGACTCGGGTGCTTGTAAACAAGCAAATGTTAACCACGAGGGGTTTATCGTCGACCAGCCGTACTCATTATGAGGCCAGATAGGAAGTTCTGGGGGCCTCTTGGAGGTTAGCAACATCATTAGAACAAAGGCTGCCAGACTTTACCCTTCATTTGCTGTTTTGATATTCTTAGCCAGCACCGTTCGTAGTGGCGGTCGGCCGACTTCTTCGTGAGGCAGAAACCCGAATGCATGAGCTACGTCACTGTATTCTTGTGGCGTCTTAATAGGTAGCCCGCGAATGAGAATCGCGCCACCATGCTCCCTCAACTTATCGAACAAATCGCCAGATTCTGATAGTCTCTTTACAGTTAATATAGACTCTTCTAATGTAGTATACCACTCCTTGGCTGGTTTCAGTGCCAATGGGAATAATGTGTCGGTGTTCAACCCAAAGCTGGATGTCTCTTGCTGGCCAGAAAAGGTAAAAACTTCAAAGCGATCATATTCAGACATCTTGGACTAGCACACTTAGATTGCAGCAAGCTGGATTAACTTTTAACCTACCATGTAGTCCTGTTAGCATTATATCTCGCGATGACCAAATTCACCCACAATTATAGTGAGATGTAAAGCTTTCTTTCTTCCACGAATCGTAATGGGCTCAAAAGACGTCAATGGTATTTGGAATGTCGCAACTTATATATCCCCGCAATTCCCGTTAAGCAGACCTATTCATTGGCTGTTCACCTTTAAATTAGGTCGTGCCCCTCGATTGTGTAGCATGCCAAGCTGTTCTGCAGCGTTATTCCATAACTCTTACGGGCGTGAATGGAGGCTTGACTCGCTTTACTCTCCTCAGGAGGTGAGTACCTGGCCATGCTATTCATGATCGGTTAAGCAGATATTCGGGAACTGCCACATGCGTACGCAGCGTCCCAGGAACCAGGTTCAGGGCACGATGCAACTTAACAGATTAAAGTAATAAAAAGCCGATTCGGAGCACGCAATTGCTAAAGTTCTAGCCGAGGGGCTGATATCGCCGTACTTTTAGACACTTGTATGTAGTAGGTAATTCCTGGACCGAGAGGGGCCAATCTTAAGGTAACTATAAGCAGCTATAGGTAGCTACCTATCTATGAAGAGAGTCAAAAGCTACAGATTTCTACCTAAAATCCGGCTACTCTCTTATATAAACAACTTACAGCCTAATATGTCTTCAGACAACGATATAGCAACGTGTGATCCTATCAAAGCATCACCGCCCAGTGAGGAAGTTGATGTAAGCCCACCAAAATACTCTTGGTATCATGGAGTCTTTTTCAATGCCACAGTTGTTGGTATTTCGGCGTTTGCGGCGCCAGGATTATGGAATGCGATGAACTCGGTTGGTGCTGGAGGGCAGCAGACCCCGTATCTTGTCATGTAGGTAAGGGTTCAAAGGGACGGGTTGGCCTCGACTAATGGAGTATATAGGGCGGGCAATGCTATTCTATTCGCCGTAATGACGCTGACGTGCCTGACTGGGAGTATGATGGCTAACCGATTCGGCTTGCGAAACTCTTTAGTAGTCGGCACAGTTGGTTATGTGATCTACTCGGCAGCTCTATACACGAATAATCGCTACGGTACGGAATGGTTCATATACCTAGGCTCGGCAGTCTGCGGCCTCTCAGCAGGGATTTTCTGGGCAACAGAAGGCACTATTATGCTGAGCTATCCCGAGCCAGAAAAGCGTGGCAGGTACCTGGCTTATTGGCTCAGTTATCGCAACAGCGGCTCTATACTCGGTGGTATTATTAACCTTGCCTTCAACTACCGAGGAAGGACGACGGGTAAACTCGACTGGAGAACCTATATCGTCTTTGTTGTTCTACGTTAGTTCCAACTGTGCTTGTGACAGTTACCAAAGTGTCTAACTTATGTTTTAGAATGCTTGGGGCCAATATCTTCCTTATTATTGACCCCGCCCGAAAAGGTCGTTCGCAGAAATGGATCGCGTGTCCAGCTATCAGATAGGATATCAGACCTTGAAGAGCTAAAGGCCCTGACGCGCGTTCTGTTCCGAAGAGACTTTCTCTTGATGTACGTGTTGGCGAAATCTAAATCCAATAGGTACAGGTACCTAATGTCATACTGACCATGGCTGTAATAGTATACCTTACTTCGTATACGTCACATGGGAGCTCCCATATATTAGTGCCTACTTATCCCTATATTTCTCAGTCCGTTCGCGCGCTTTGGCTTCTCTTGTCTCCGCGATTTCCCAGGTTGCCACGACCCTCGCATTCGGGGCTTTCTTGGATTGGACAGGAGTAAGTCTGAATAAGCGAGCCAGATATGGTTATATAGTTATGATGATTCTTATTGGTGGCTGCTGGATTTGGGGGGTCATCATACAAAACGAATATACGCACCATAAACCAGCCCTGGACTGGGACGATGGTGGATTTGGGAGAGGCTGGGCATTATACATTTTCTGGCAGATCAACTTCTCACTCACGTATAACTTTGGCTTCTGGCTTATCGGCTTCCTAGCCAGGGAGCCCAAAGAGATTGTGAGGTATATGTCGATTGCGAGAGCTGCAGAGTCAGCTGGACAGTGTATATCGAGCGGTATTAGCTCGACTTCATCACCGGTATGTAAATACACAATCAATACATGTCTCTATATCCGTTGGCTAACTTTTTCACAGCTAATATCAGCTTTGGGGGTTAGCTTTGCCCTATGGGGTATTGCTGTCATCCCGGCATACTTCGTAGTTCGCCAAGTGGGAGTAATTCACATTGGCCCTGAGAAATCAACCCCGGATTCTCATGAAAACGATAAGGGGTTAGAAAGGTCATAGCGCTAGTTATCCTTGATACTAACTTTTACTTCCTTCTTCTAAAATCTACATGATCAATAGTTACCCCTGAATATGCTAATGACAGGGCGGTGAGCTGATCCCTTAGATACTGCAAGTCTATCTTAGGTACTCTTGCTAAGCAACAGCCCCTCTATCGACTTAAATAGACTCTTAGGCAGCCATTTCCTCATCCCTTATCAGCGCTGCGAAATCAACATGGCCGTGGTGTCGTGGTAACGAAGTAGGGCTAGAAATAATTCCTCGAGGGGTTTTTCGTAGGACTTAGAGGCTCGACCTCCATGAGGGGCGACAAGCAGGCCAACTTGTTCTGGTCAATCGATTCGAAGGCCGAATCCTAGGTCCCAGCTTTTTTTCAACCTCTTTTTCTTTCGAATAATCACGACTAATTCATTTGCAACTTGGAAGTAAAATAAAAATCCATCATCATACGTTTAACTCATTTATAAAAAAAACATGGAAAGAGGTAGTCATCTCAATAATTATACCTTCTTCTACCACCTAAAAAATCTACGACTTGCCCGTTTCCCTGCTGTTATTAGAGTGGGCTGTAAGTACCATGATCCTGCCTTCGGTTGTTCAAGGTCGATAGCAGTTGAGAAAACTATCTGACTCTCTTTTACCTTTGTTATTTCTTCCTCGTCATTCTCACCCTCAGACACGACACCGATCCTCACAGGAAATAGATGGGCATCCGAATCCCCTTCTGGTCGCTGGCACATTAGACTAATATCGGAGCTGTTCATCCCTATTAGCTGAAAGCCAGCTGGAACACCCTGAAATTTCCTAGCAAAACTATTAACCATGAGAACCAGCACTAAGACTGCTCCCAGGGTGATAGCCAAGAGTACTCCTAATGCCGAATATCCTCTAGCAGAGACATCGAACTCCGAATGTCGCTCGCCATTGGCTCCCGGACCGAACGAGCTGGTCTGCACAACGAATATTCCCTGCGATATGAACCAATGTAATAGAATCGAACCCATCGTAAGTAAGATAGAGTATTTCAGAGGCAAAGAAAGGAAGTATGAAGACCTCTGCATGCCGACAGGCGAGGTCACGCGGAGGGGTTTCTTCCCCTCGGGGCGGGTAAAGCGTGTCCATTCGTCCGCTACCAGCTGTCTTGTCAAGATAGAATTGTAGAAGAGGTATATGAAGCTCACTATCACCTGAGGAAAGTTGGCAACAAGGACGTTTCCGATAAGGTCTACACCCCCCTCACCCTGCGATTTCCAGAAAGAGTGGCCTATCATCGATGGATTGACCTCGAATCCCAACCCCCATATGTCGAAAAAGGATAGATTCATGCCCTGAGTTTTGAGTCTGTTAATATACTCTCCAATGAGACCGGAAGGCACTGCTAGGCCAATACCAAACCTAGGTAGATAGTAATTCCTATTAGTTTAGACTTCAAGGGTATATCAGAATGTATCTAGTATCTAATGTAGAAACACTGACAGAATAAATGCTATAGTCCAAGTCCGAGTACTGACAGCTGTGAACCAGTAACTCTGACATTCGTTCCATTGCGTTAGGCGAAGTTGGTAGAAATCTCCTTTCGCGATGTTGACACCCTTTTGGCCTTCGCATTCTTCATTAGTTTCGGTACTGGGCTCGTGTAGAAAATCAGCGATCGCGTCTCCGATGGTGATTAAAGCACGTCGACGCCTTCCACTTTCCCCAGATGGATTATATCTGCGAAAGTACGTGTTTGTCCAGAGGACGAGCAGGCACTGCAAAGAAGAGCAGATGCAAACAACGACCATAATATGCACGCTGTAATGAAGCCCGCATCTTTCCCCATTGTTACCCTCATCACCAACTAAACAATGATCAACGAGGATGTCTGGAAATCCAGCAGACTTCCCCACTACCCAACCGTCATCCAACGTATCAGCCCATTCTAAGCTGCATACTTTTGAATAATTTCCTGGGTCATATGCGGAGCATAGCCAGTAATTACCAGCGTCCCAGTAGTCCCATCCACTCACCCAACCATCGAGTAGGGATGAGCCATTGTTTTGTTCGGTTGTCATATTCTGAGCAACGACCAAAACAGCTCTTGTGGATTTCAACGGATTCAAGTACTCGTTGACACATTCCCTCGGGTCGAGCCGCGTCAAACTCGATGCATTGGTCTTCATGGTATAAACAGGTGCTAAATCGTATTTGACAGTGCCCCATCTGTCGCCAGATGGAAAATTCCACCACCAACGTTGTGGTAGGGGGTCGCTGGTAGTCCAGTTGTCCGGTGCCGCTTGGAAATCAGCTGTGGCTAAGGCGCGTGGGATTGACACTATAGGTAATGACGTGAATATAACCGAGTTCCAACTATTAATGCCCATTAGCAGTTTATACTCAATATAGCCATGTAGATCGGGGGGCTTACACGAAATGTAAAAGGGCTGCTGTGACGCCGAGAGACAACCACCCGACCACTCTGCCACGAGAAATGTGCCGCAGGTTTGTAACATTGGGAACGCCGATCCTTAGCGATATTCCCCTCGAATGTGCCTTGTCTATTTCATATCGACTAGGCGAGACAAGTAACTGCATACAATAGTTTCCAGAGCTGAGTAGTAGACTAGAAAGGATGTTCATTGCGGCGTGAATAACACTGTTTAGCATGCTCGCTCTGGAGCAGTTGCCGGAAAAATACGTGCCCACTCCACGATAATTCGGATTATGCGTGACTACTGACCAAACTGTCATAGCAGTACTCGCTGCCACCACCAGGGATGCGATTATTAACTGGATCTTCAGCATTGCCGTTTTCTTGGCCATCTTGACTCTAAGGGTGATAGCTCGTGGGTCTGACGGGTTTAGCTCTGGTATGTACTTGGACAGCATCTCTGTTTTAGCGTATCGGGGTCCCCCATCTTTCTCGTCGGAGAGGAGAGGCCTAGCTTGGTTCGCTGCCTCTTCATTATGCGTCGGTGCTGATCCTAGATCTTCAGTTGTTGATTCAATGCTCGTGCGCGACGAAGTATTCGACATTCTGTTGTATAAGTGCTAAAGCACCCGTCAACCCTACAAGACACCTAAGTACCTAAGGTATTGAAGATTATATTTAGGTTCCTATGTTTCTAGGGATGTTGAGTCTAACTATATAAAACGCATAGGCGCCTAACATATTCCTATCCAGGAGGTCACCCCTGTCTCATGGGCCCACTCACGGTCATACATTGTCATCAAAATAGAGGCGCAAGCATCAGACGGGAAGTGTAGTCGATCTCTTTCACATAAGTGATTTCTGTCAAAAATTACTATACCGTTTATTATTATATGATGAGTACATTAGGTAGGTAATGTAGGTAAGTTACTTCGCTTCTGATCTTTGTATTGAGGGTACTTAGAGAGCATGTCTTAGGGGTCTATGAATGATACGTTCTGAAATGATGCCAAAGACGTATTTGGATAATGATAGTCTATAAATTTAACGTACCTATCGTATACTATTATGTACAGTTCAATGTAACTACATAAGCCTTGCAAACCTCAGCTTTGCCAGCTAAGCCACAATATAACCGCCCATAGATGTCAACGGCAGGGGTTATAATTGGCGTGCCAATGAACTAATAGACTAAGTAGTAGGTAGCTTTTCTTAAATCGTTTTCTATCGAGGATTCCACTATAGGAAGTTTGATAGGTTCAAAAGGCGACGGAGTTCTTCCCCTAGGTAAGGTACCTAACTAACTATCATATGTCCTAGGTATTTTAGATATTATTATCAACTAATCGCGATGATACCTTTAGTACAAGTGTTATAAAAACCCCTAGCTAAATCCTTCAACTATGAAGTTAGACTCGCTTCTAAGTTTACAACACAAATCTCTAAAAATGATGCGGGGCTCTTGGTTCCTCGGAGGTATGCGAAATCTCTATATTGTCCAAGGTTAGGCCTTCTTCCATGGATCTATTACGAGCCTCGCTTGCCTTGCCGTTGGATGGTGAGAGAAGACGCGCGGCTAACCAGCGCAGCTTAGAGAAGGAGAACCTGAGGGCAACTTGCTCCTGGATGGGGCGAAGGGTTGGGAGACATGCGCTTAACACACCCACATGGGTCTCGATGATGGTCCAGTAGAAAACTTGCGTATACATCCCTATATGATCTTTGTTAGCGTTTTATATTCTTATAGCCGTCGAGCTATGGGTTTGAAACAGCATACAAGTGCCATCTAGCTCGGCAGAGTCTTCGAGGACAGAGTTGCCATCTACCTCGGTAGGGTCTTCGGAGTCAGAGTGGATTTGGGTTAAAAAGTGAATCCGAATAATCCCGACAATACTAACTAAACCACCGAGGAGGAAGATGCATATGATCAAAGCTTTTCGCGCAAATGGCATCTGTAAGAGCCAAATTTTGTAAATTGGTAGGAAGAGGATCGTAACTAATACATAAATGAGTTTCTGTCCGATAGATAAGTATCATGGCTCTATGAAAGTAGCTTACAATCTGTAGCAACGTCTATAGCTAATGCGGTAGTAAAGAGTGCCTCCTGGTTGACACAGGTGGACTCGAGCTCGAGATTCCATTGCGAAGCAACCGGTGTACATGAAACTAGGATACCAGTTAAATACCTAATGAGACAGGCACTTCATCAAGGGGGAAAAGACGTACACACAAAGGCAAAGGTAAATGCTATCGTCCAAGCGATTATAAGACCAACGAGAATCCAAGTCATTGTCCTAAATCTTGAAGTTGTGAAGATACGTTTATACATCAGGAGGACACTGATTTTGGTTAGTCCTACTGCTGGCAATGTTAATATCTCAAGTGCATATGTTGTCTACATACGCACAATTAGTTATCGTATAATAATAGATAGATTGACATAATATTGAATGTAGGTACCTAACCTACCTTGCCGAAGATTACCGTGGATTCGGGATCTAACGGATATCCGTCATCGTCATACTGTTGATGGGTCCCTAAACCGCCTTGCTGGGTCACTGATAAGTTGTAATGTATTAGAATACTGATAGATTATAAAGATGGTATTTTACCCTACTAATGAGAATATCTATTGTGACACCAATGCTAAATATCTAGAAGCCCACATGTTAGAAATGTTAACACCGGCGGCTTTCTATGGTAGAGAATCTTACCAGAGCTACAAGGATGGTCCAGTCATCAGACGCCAACTTTTGGCCTTTGATTCGGCGAGCCTGAAACCTAAGCACGACGGAAGTAATAGCGATGATAGGGAATGCAATTCCCAACCCCCGTATTGTTGGCTGTTGACTTTGAACCATGGCAACACTATTAGAAAGGGATCAAATATGGTTCTAGAGAAGGGAACAGCAAGGAGTCTCCCCGCATGGACGTCTACAGCTTTTTAAAAAGTAAAGCTACCTCACAGCCTTACTGCTGTATCACCATGCCACATTTACATGTTGGTCAGCTAACCGCATAATCATCAAATTAATTAGTTCGTTTACCAAAAGCCCCCAAACGCAACCATAATGATACGACAATAATAAGACACTCATTGAGTACCTGAGTACCCCTAGGTACTTAGGTAGATAACAAATCATTACCAACTAATCCGTACTCATTCCATCGATTTTACGCGAAAGCCTCGGTCTGCTTACGACACCATTCCACGAATTTAGCTGCGACTCCTGTTCCGCCTTCGGATTCTCCTTTTATCGAAGTCTCGACGCCTGCCGGAAGACTACCAAATCTTCCCCAAGGATAAACATAGGCACCGCTCTTATCAGGTGTCAACTCAGGAGTGAGTGCTGTCCAGAGTTCTGTATACGCCCCATAGATAGCTGGGTATAGCAATAATTTGTCCTGCAACAGTGATAATTGTCAATACATATCCCGATAACAGTTACAAAGCGTAGCACCACTCACAACGATCCATTGGTCCGGACCTGTCCAATGCCGTTGCAGCTCCGTGCGCAAGTTGCCCGGGTTGAAAGCCGCGTGTACAACACCGGTCTGGGATGTCGTTTTGGCGAACTCCCGCGCGAAAAAGACGTTGCCAACTTTGGTCTGACCGTAATTGGGTTTCACTCCTTGATCCGTGGGTGAACCATCATCATTAATAATCATCCCTTGTGGCTGCGGTGAGGCTAGGTGCACGGCGACGGAGCCGGCCCACGTGACGCGCACGGAGGCCGTCGGAGAAGTGGAGGCGGTCTTGGTAAGGAGGGGGAGGAGAAGCTGATAGAGCAGGTACGGGCCCAAACAGTTGGTGCCTACCTGTAACTCGTGTCCTTGCGCGTCAATGCTACCCTTCGGAGGGAACATGACCTACAAGTAAAGACATGTTTGTGTTAGGTACATAGACGAAGCAGGCGTATATAACACACTGGTTAGAGAAGAGGATATCAGAGGAGAGAGACGTACACCGGCATTATTCACAAGAACATCAAGGCGTTGTTGTTGAGCAGTGAATGACTCGACGGCGGGTTTGATAGTTTTGAGATCAGACAGATCAAGATAAAGAAATTCTACGCGACCGTTGCTGGACGGTGAAGCATCTCTGATACTCGAAATGGCCTTCTCGGCCTTTGATGCGGAGCGGCCTGCAACCCAGACGGTGGCATTGTGGGCATAGAGAATCTTACACAGTTCGTAACCCACGCCGACGTAGCCACCTGTCACGATAAAAACCTACGGTAGACAAATGTACGCGTCAGCGATATAAAAGGAGTTGAGGAAGAATGATATAGGAGGTACTTAGAATCTTAGATACTTACTCGTCCGGTTTGATCAGGACAATTCTTCTCCGTGAGAGCCGGGGCCTGAATGAAAAAGATTTGGCTAAAAACGTTCCCCATGATCAGCGATTTCGAAAAGTCAAGTTAGGCCAAATTGGAACCGTACGGACTTGACCGCTTATAAATCAGGTTAGTTAAATATAATAGGTTTGGAAGTTTACCTGGCTATCGTTGAATAAGGTTGGCTTGGATGCCCTTTATCAAGCCACACCTAGCCATAACATTAGCCACAACGCTAATCACGTTAGCTAGGTCAAAGCTAATGTAGTAACGAACGAAGTGGAGCGCCGGAGCTTTCCTAAGAGGTTGTCTATTAGGTAGCTCCTATTAGCTCCCTCCGCTAAATCTACTTTAGGTACGGATTATAGAGGCTTATTATCTTCTTCCCCACCCCCGCATTCCGAAGTGTCGGATCCGTCCACACACTTACAAGTTGTAAGTTACAACTACTTAAGTCTCGGATAAGCGAAGACGTCGAAAGTGCAGAAGGAATATACGAACGATCCAATGCAATGCGCTCAGATACTTGTCTACTAACCAACATATCCTAGGTAAACCGCTAGTCAGAAGGATCACTCGCAATTTATAACTAACCTTGTTGAAAATATCCAACGGCGCAACAAAGCCAAGTATTCCTATTCCTAGCTCTGAGTCAGTCGGTCATCTTATAAGAACTACACCTTGCAGCTAACAATATGTCGTAAGAAATCCCCCAAGCTGCATCCACAGCCTATGGTTTCAAACTGCGAATGTAGGTATGATCTGCGTAACATGTGCTTACGACATATAGGTCGGAAAGCTTGGCCATTTTGGACATAATTCTCTTTGTTACACGATGCATAGGTAAGTAGTTGAGCACTATCACACAAACTATTTTAAAAGACTCTGAAGAGACCGATCTAGATTATCGAAACTACCCAATGATTTATGGGATTCCGAAGAAAGTATCACGGTAAGATCCGAGGTTGATTCCGGCCGTTATAGATTCGTCGGCCCACTACCCATCTATTAGTGAATTCAACCACGGCATCCAGACAGGGTAACCTGTTCAGCACATCTTGCAGCTTGATATCCTTAATTCTAGTAAAGGTGCTCTAGATCTCTTCACGTAGCTTCTTATAGATATCTAGATGCGTTAGAATGTGATATATGGCGGCAGTCTCTGCTACCGACGACGTCTCGCTATCAGCTAGGATAACGACTGCCCCTTGCGTCTCGATCATCTTTATTGGGAGGCCTTCCTTAATCGCCTGCTTCTGAAAATGATGCATAAAATCATGGCGATCCGTATCCACGGCCATACGATTCCGAATACCCTTTAATGAAGCTTCATTATGACTTATCTGCATCTTACGCGTTGATGGCGGGATAAGGAGAGCTAGTAAGCGATTCAGCGGCCAAAACTTGTGGCATTGATGGAGGAGTGTTGCTGCATAGAAATAGTCAATGACAAATTTGACCCAGTCGTAATAGCCCATATCTTCCCCAAACCCGAAGTTGCTGTTGATATCGAACATGGGAAACGCGAACCATTTGCACATATCGACGGGGTTTCCGTTAGCACTATGTCTCTCGAATTGTGCTATGAGTTGGCTAGCATGTTCCTACATCATAGGCTCCTGTTCGAGAAGCGAGCGATGCGCGGAAGCGCTGTCCAATGAGCACCGAATAGGGATTGTATCCTCATCGCTAATAAGTGTGATGGTCTCCTTGCTGAGCTTCATTTTATTATAGAATTGAGGGTGCTTAGGGAAGTTTGCTCGACCTCTGCCATTTTTCTTGTATCCGTATATCTCAGTTCAGGCCTACGGCTTGATTGTTGCTAAGAAGGAAAGAAAGCGAATAATTACCGAAATGAATGAATATATACCTAGTTATCAACTTGGACGCAAGTTCGTACTAAATCAAACCCTGGCTGTATTCCATTTTGAGTGAGATTCTATTAAGAACAGAAAAATTTGAGTAAAGAAGGTCATGGTAAGATATACCTACCTCCTTGGATGAAAATGTACGATAAACCAAACTAGTAGAGATTTATGAGTCAACCGCGGGACTCGGCCAATTAGACGTAAATGGTCAATGTGCCTGTATCTCACTCGTAATCGAGGACGTATGCATGTGAAAACCATCCGTTACCAATGTCAAGGCTGAGGTGAGAAATTGACTGGGATTCCGTGAAATCATGATCCCACCCCTACCATAGTGATAGGCAAGACTGTCTTTGCACCCCTCCCCAGAGGCTCCTATCTCACCAATATTGGCGAGAGATTTGGGATGGCACACTGCAGGCTAGCTGCACAGGTCGTCTTATTGGCAACTGAATGACTTAAGAAATAGACGGGTATATCGGCTCCTTTCCTCTCTTTCAACATACTTAAGGCCGTATCTGAAGATAGATCGTTCGCTGCACTTACTACCGCAAGAGCCCAGTTTCCCCCCTTGATACATTTCAAAACAGAGCCGATCGAAGAGTAGGGGTTATTGTAAGAATCAACTACAGCTAGCCGTTCTTCTCAAAATAGGGTAACTTTAGAGTACGGCCCTATTAACCCTATTTTCTTAACCGGATATTGGGACTTTATAGCTAGTTGCTACTTAGTTGGGACAAATCTATAAACCAGTAAGTAAGAGGTTCCTTATTTCCAATTTGTAAAGTTTTATTAGAGTAGAAGTTGACCTACATTCGATCCTTGAGAGGACGGGTAATCATCCTTCTCTCTTGGAGTTTTAGAGTCGAGCCGAACCATCCCAATAGAATGGATTTCTTGCAACCACCTCCTCGAGGCATCATCTTCGACCTCGGCGATGTTCTCTTCACATGGTCCGCCAACACGACGACGACCATTCCAGCTCGGAAGTTGAGAGAAATCCTCTCGACGCCTGTCTGGTGTAGTTATGAGCGTGGCGAGATAACTCGGGATGCCTGTTATGAGTTGAGTGCTCGACAATTCTCCCTCTCAGCGTCCGAGATCGCCGAGGCATTTGCCCAGGCACGCGAGTCTCTACAGCCCGACCATGCCATCGTCTCATTCCTTCACGAGTTGAAAAAAGATCCTACTATACAAGTATATGCCATGTCGAATATAGGTAAAGAAGACTTCGAGGAACTTGCAACAAAAACGGACTGGCATCTTTTCGATCGAGTCTTCACCTCGGCAGCGGCAGGCATGCGAAAGCCGGAGCTGGGATTCTACCGTCACGTTCTGGACCATATTAACTTAGCCGGAAACCAGGTCGTCTTCATTGACGATAAAGAAGAAAACGTCAATGCGGCGCGAGCAGCGGGCATCCGGGGGCTTGTTTTCGGGAATTCAACAATTCACATATTGCACGAGCTGTTGGATAGTCCAGTGGGAAAGGGCTGGCGATATTTGTTCCAGAATGCGAAGCAATGTGACTCAATCACAGACAGCGGGATCGTCTTTGCGGACAATTTCGCAAAATTGCTGATTGTAGATACGTTGCAAGACCAGTAAGTCAACCCCCAGGCTGTGCGAGCAAATGTTAGAGGGAATCTGTAGCTTAGCATGATGGTACTAGGACCCTTGTCGATCTCAGTTGGGGATCTAAGAAGACCTGGAATTTCTTCATCGGTAAGAAGCTAGCTCTCTAAACACTGGTGCGTAGCGAGAAAGTGACTTATGAAGACATGTTATCAGGAAAACCAGCACTCATTCCAGGAGGTATTTTCCCTGATGATCTTGATACTACAGCACTCGCACTCAAAGTTCTTCGACCGTCGCCGACCGAAATTGCCTCGCCTATTCTCGACATGATGGCCGAATATGTCAAGGATGACGGCAATTTCCAGGTAAGCCATTATGTGCTAACGTAGCTAGGGTGGTAGTAACGAAGGTTCTTTCGCTAAAAAGCACAACAGACATATTTTGACCGTAGCAAAGATCGAGTGGACCCTATCGTCAGCGCGAACATCCTTGCTTGCTTTTATTCTTATAACCGTGGACAAGAATTCGAGCATACCCTCGAACTCATACACACATTGCTCTTAGACCGTTCCTACATAGAAGGTAGTCGGTACTATTCTTCCCCAGACTGTTGTTTGGGATTCATCGGACGCCTACTCGGGTCTTCAAACGACGATCATCTCCGGATAACGCTGGGTCCGTTGTTAAAGTTGAGAGTGCGTGAACGCCTCGGTCTAAAGGGCAGCGCATTAGATTTAGCTATGCGCGTTGCTACGTGCGTCCAAATGGGGATTGCATGCGAGGATGATCGCCGGGCTTTACTTGGCCTCCAATGTGACGATGGGAGCTGGGAAGGGGGTTGGTTGTATCAGTATGGAACTACAGGGGTGAAGATCGAGAACCGCGCGGTGACTACAGCAATGGCTATTGCAGCACTGTCGTCTCAAGATGTTGTTCCGCAGAGGAATGATACGAAGTTAAGTGGTATGAACGGTAACCAGGTAGTTGTTGAAATAAGAGATGTGAAGTAGTAGAGTAGAGATAGAATTTCGGGTCAGAAAGCGGATCTACGGTGGTTGATTACCTAAACTTACTTGTACGGAGGGGACCCACCTTTACGCGCTTACGCATTAGGCGCCGTCCGTTAGAAAGAAAATTAGTACATTGTCACTCGCTTACATGCGCATCATTCTGGAACCTTCGTCTGACAAATGGGGCCTATCGCAGCTAATCAATCAGGGGTCTTGTACTGCGACGGAAGTAACGAGCAACAAGCAACAAGCAACAAGCAACAACAACCAATTTGATAAGGCTGAAACTTTGGAAACAGATGGAAACACGAGATGCCTTCATCTCGTTCATTCTTTAACACACAATCACCTTGTCAATTCTCTCGCTGCTAACACATTCCCTCTTCTTACCTCTGTACTTACTCACTTATCCTACAGCCTACAGCCTACAGCCTATCGTCTATCTTTTCTATAAGACAAACCTACCTAGGTTTAATGCCTCTCTCTTAATACAGCTTATTCTCATCTATTCCTGTAATCGTATGGACTAGTAGCGCGTATTTCTTATTTGCAGTCCTACAACTATCCGCCACCCTTTAACAAAGAAGTCCTCATCCCTATCTCTCCGCCCATCATAAGTATCCTCGATAGCGCAACATCTACGTCGTTATCAAGGTCTAAGGCTTGAAACCCTCCGAAACAACAAGACCTATCCTTCGACCGAGTTTACTAGCGAACACCAGTAGCGATGGGGAAGGACGTGGCAAAGTCCTTCAAGCTAAAGGAAGATGGGAACCAACACTTCCAATCCGGCGACTTTATAGGTGCCGAGAGCCTCTACTCCAAAGCGTGGGTTATAAAAGGTGCATAGTTCATTCTGCGCTCAAAACTAATCGTCCTCGGATCTTCATAGCATCATCGCGGACGATACGAACCCCTCATTGTACACAAATCGTGCTATGGCACGGCTTCGACTCGGACTATACGAATCGGCCATCTCAGACTGCAACGAGTGTCTCAAGCTAAGCGGAGGCAATCTAAAAGCCTACTTTGTCCTTTCCAAGTGCCAGCTCTCTATACACGACTACGACGCTGCCCTCGAGAGCGCTCTGCAAGCCCACCGCTTGTGTGTTGAGACGAACGACAAGTCATTGGGCCCAGTTACCGATCAGGTCCTACGCTGTAAGAAAGAACGTTGGGACGAGATGGAAAAGCAGAGGGTCCGTGAGGGGCAAGAGCTGGAGAATGAAGTCATCGGCCTCTTGGAACGCGAACGTGAGGACATGATCGGCTCGTGCGACAACGACTTCGACAGAGATCAGGTTACGCAGGAGTGGAATCACAAGATCGAGTTACTACGATCGACATTCGAAAAGGCTAGAGCCGCATCGGAGAAGAAGCGCGAGGTCCCTGACTGGGTAATTGATGATATCAGTTTCGGTATCATGATCGATCCGGTAATTGTAAGTATTATGAACTGATCTGGGGATTCTTCGACGTGTTATTAACCAGGCCGATAGACCAAGACCGGCAAGTCATACGAGAGGGCGTCTATTATGGAGCATCTTCGAAGGCATCCCACCGATCCTCTGACAAGAGAGCCACTACACCCCAGCGACCTACGGCCAAACCTTCAACTAAAGGAGGCCTGCCAAGAGTTTTTAGACCAGAACGGATGGGCAGTTGATTGGTAACTGGGGGGGGTGGTAAGCAATATACGGGGATACTTGAGATGATCTGACGGTAAAAGAGCCGATACAATGACACGAGGGAGAGTGCAATGGTATGGATTAGTATTTCGGTTTTAGCAAGCCCTGCATTGGACGGCGTTTTTCTTTTTCTCTTCCGGGTTGGCCTAGTTGCGCCATTGCAGGATACCCGACATTCGTATGAGGAACGAATATTTGAGGTCACGGTTACGAGAAATGAATAAGTCAAGTTACACATTATTAATACCAGAATATTACTCGAGATAGTACAGTTACTATAAACTAGATAGAAATCATGAAAGATGATAAACGATGGTAATAAATTTTTAAATCTCGGTCTTGATAGAAACTCAGTAACCTAGCAGTATATGAGGGCGACATTCTATCGTCGATTATATACCTAGACTTTAACCCTCATGGCCGATGCAAGCCGATACGAACCGGTAGAGAAGATACTCCAACACTTCAACACTACCTGACCTACCTAACTATGTAAGGGTATACATTAGGTATGTAAGGAGATCCGCTAACTTCAGCTAAATTATACCAATAATGGACTCAACCCCCTCCGACAAGCTTCACCCCAAGCCGAAGCCGGGACGAGACCGAACCCTGTCGGCACACCTTACCCCTCCGAACTTGATCATTTCCCCAGTTCTTATCCCTTGTTCTCATATTGTCTTATCTTGCCTTGTCTTGTCTCATTCGTATCCATAATGACGATCATATACCATCCCGAGAGGGAAGACAAATCGACAATGGAAGCAGCATCTACCTCTGCCCAAGTCCCCTTCGGCGCCGCCTTCCGCAAGACGCACTTCGCCTTCGGCCCGAATTACACGCCACTTAACCACGGCTCGTACGGGACCGTCCCGGTGTCGGTGCGGTGCGCCCATCAGGGTTTCTGCGCCGAAGCCGACGCCGCTCCGGACCCGTTCATCGCGCTCGAGTTCCACGACCGGCTTGCGCCGCAGCGGGCTCTAGCTGCCGAGGCTCTTCATTGTCCAAATGTTGACGAGCTTGTGTTCGTGCCCAATGCGACAACTGGGTCCGACACTGTGCTTAAGAACCTGGATTGGAAGCACGGGGATGTGATACTCTGTTATGAGCGTATCTATGACTCCCTTGGCCGCGGAATATCTTGGATCGAGGAGACGCATGGGGTCAAGGTGCATGTTGTGCGTGTCGTGTGGCCGGTGTCGGATGATGATCTCGTGAAGGCTATGGTCGATGCTGCAAGGAGCATCAACACGGAGCCGGGGCAGAGAGTACGGCTTGCTGTCGTAGACACGGTTGTAAGCATGCCTGGATTCCGAGTGCCGTTTGAGCGGTTGGTACCGTCGCTTCAGGCTGAGGGGGCGCTGGTCTTAGTAGACGGGGCGCACGGGATCGGACACGTCGATATCGACCTTGCGGCCCTAAACCCCGACTTCTTCGTCACGAATCTACATAAGTGGTTTTTTGTGCCGCGAGGATGTGCGGCGTTTTATGTTCCTAGTAGGAACCGTCACTTGATTCGGACGACGCTGCCGACGAGTCACAAGTTCAGGCCTCGGAAAGAGTTGGGCTCGCAGTTAAAAGATGAGGACGAAGGGCGTCTGTTTGCGGAGATGTTTGATTTTACCGGTATGTGTGCACTGCGGGTCGGGAGAATGGCCCAAGTAAGTAGAAGTCTATGGGTATTGATGATGTCTTTTCATCCATGTAGGCACGGATGACTTAACCGCTTGGCTCTGTGTTCAGGGTAAGTGATATTTCCTATTATAGTCTCCTTACCTTCTAATATTGTGGCCTACCTATAATAATATGGTATCTAAGTTTACTATTTGTCGATTCTAGAAGGCTTGCTAACCGTCCCTCTTCATAGCCGCCATCGACTTCCGCGACAAGATCTGCGGTGGTGATGCCGCTATCAAGAAGTACTGCCACAACGTAGCGCAGCGCAGTGCTGAAGCCGCGGCCGAGATTCTAGGCACCTCTATCATGGACATTCCAGGATCCTGTCTGCGAGACTGCTTTTTCGCCAACGTGCGGCTGCCACTCGAGCTGGGCACTGATGGTCCCGGCAAGGTTGATCCAGCGCATGCGGGCAAGGTCTGCGACTGGTTCAAAGAGACCGGAAGCCGTGAGAGTGGCATTTACTTCCAGACGGAATTCTATAGGGACGTCTGGTGGTGGCGTATCAGTGGCATGGTTTACGTCGACGTAGACGATTATAGAAGGGGCGCAGAGGTGCTGAAGGCGCTTTGCGCGAGAGTTAGAAATGGTGAGCATGTTAAGGGATAGAGCTAAATTCTAGAATATAGGTAGAGAAGCCAGCGATAGAGATTTGGAGATTCTTAGACAATAATACGATCGATTCAGTAGTCCACAAGTGGTAAGGCTATACTATCAAGATGCTAATGGATGGAATGTCCAATGATACCTACACTTGGATGCCTCAAGATATTTACTAATAATGAAGAATGCAAGTTAAGTGTGTAGGTGGTATACATATCAATTAGCTGAGAGCAAGAAGAGCTTGCAATCGGACATGATGATTGTGCAATCAAGTTAAGCATATACCCTACGACTTACCGGTGTGATAATAGTATCCAAGGAGAGAATCAATAGCCTTCGACATTTGCGGCGCTTCTCAACTTACGCTCCCAGAGTGTCGCCGCGAAGACCCAAACCACCACACTAAAATACATCATGACTCGCAACTGCGAGTTAAAACCATCAGCGAAGATTTGACGTACCGCATCGCGGGTTGCGTCCGGGAGTGTATTGATATGCTGCACAGAGTCTGAGATCTGCTTGATGTCCGCCGGATTGAGAAGGGCGGGCAGAGTGGAGGAGAGGTGATTGTTGAGAACCGTTGAGCTTGCTCACGCGTTAGTAGATAGTTCGAGTTAAGCTCGCGTATATCTCATACCTAATGGCTAACCCTATTGTCCCGCCAAGTACTCGTATCTGGGTAATTGCTCCCATGGCGACGGCTATTGTATGAGGAATCAGCGTATAAATAAATGCAGTTTTATAATCTATTAGTGACTTACCCATGTCAGACCGTTTTACCACCATTGGTGTGTATATCAGCAATGAAACGAGACCCATTCCAAACCCGAAGCCCATTATTACCTCATATCCATACATGGCATTGCCACTTTTAAACCGGACCGAACTCGCGAGTCCAATTCCTAATAGCTGCATCGATGCTCCAAAGAGAAGAATATAAAAGGGGGGCATTTTGAACTTCGTTGCGAGTTGTCCAGCGACGATTGTAGCAACGGGAGAGGCAAGCAGGAGAGGTAAGAGGTGAGTGCCAGCTTCAAATGGGCTAAGTCCGTCAACCGCTTGGAAGCGTTGTGGAAGATTGATTATCGCGGTCATAAAGGGGGGTCCTGTGCAAAAGGCAATTCTAGGTTACCTAATGTTAGAAACCGAGTCAAGTGACATAATTTGTGGTCTTACATGGTAAGAGAGCTAACCAAGCGGTTCTTCATTAGTCGAAGAGGGAAGATGGGTTCTTGAGTAGCTCTTGGTCGATCTGCAACTTTTTCCCATCCGAGAAACCCGATGAATAGGACACCGCCGACGATTATAGTGCTTAGGATTGTCGGGCTTTGCCAGCTGTATCGAGACCCTGCTTCCTCGAAAGCGAAGACGATTAGAGCAGACGAAAAAAGCAACAGTATGGCTCCAATAATGTCAAGTCGACGAAGTGATGCCCGCGATATCTTGCTGTGAAATCTCATTAGGCCCGCTGAGTCGTCAATATTCGGGAATTGGGCGGGCATAACGAAGGCTATTAAACCAGTCGCAATTACTCCAGCCGGAGCGCTATTTTCAATGTTAGCCACTTCAAGAGTTCCCACTTCTAGATGAGGGTGTGCTCACTTTAAAAGGAAGACCCATCGCCAGGAGGAATGGTTGTTGATTACACCGCCGAGTATGGGACCAAGGACGGAACTGAGGACGGAGACCAGGGAGACGACCGCGATGATGTTCCCCCATTTCTCAGGTGGGACAAGTTCGGGCTGGATACATGTTACCATCGCGTAGATTCCGGAGCCACCGATGCCCTGCAGAGCCCGGAACACAATCCTACATGTATGAAGGATTTAGTATACAAGTCATGCCATCATGTTATAATAGTATTGTGCTAGGACCGATGTACGCACAGCTGAGTCATATTTGAGATTGAGCCGCAAACGATCGAGAAGACCGTGAAGAAGGCTATCGCAACTAATATCATCAACTTGCGCCCTAGGATATCGCTAAACTTGGCATATACCACTAAGAAGCCTATGATCTAGGTAGTTAGAAAATTGACCTCGTTATATATCTACAAAACCGTAGTCATACCTGTATAAGTGATGAGATAAGAGGTAACCACCCAATCTCTCTGCTCAAAATCTCCCAAGGCATTTGTGATAGAGATGAGCGATGTGCTGACTATTGTCGTTTCTAACGTCGATAGGAACAAGGATAAACACAAGCTAGGCGTCGTTGTTAGGTGAAGGCTCAAGGTGTAATTGAACAATAGGGGTCATACGAGGATATCATAGCGTATAATCTCCATCCTTCCATATATCTGCGAGGCGCCTCAGAAGGAATTGCTTGGGTAGTTTGGCCATCATCTTGGATGTTGATGTTTTGTGGCTCCTTTAACTCTGTGGGGCCAAGCATGATGCCGCCATCTTCAACATGACCGCCGTCTGTAGTTGTAGTTGTAGGTTGGTTTCCGTGCTCTTGGATTTCGGGAACAGGTGCCATTCTTTTTTTAACAGACTCTGGCAAATCGAGAGACCGAGAGACCGAGAGACTACGGCTGCGACATGATGCTTAATAACATTTTTTTCCTATTCATCTTTTAAGCACAGCGACAGTGAGGACAGGTTTCTTCAATCATCAACCCCCATAGACTACCTAGGTACTATAGCTGCGCCACATTAAGCACGTGATTTATGATCGTCTCCAGCAGTTCGGGACAAGCTAAGGTTTCCGCGTCGTGCCGTTGCGAGCGGCCTCTTTTCTACCCCTGCATAACTGTACATTACATAGGTAGTTAACATGACTGACTGCATGAGCTTCTAGACTTTTGGGATGTAACCGGCTAGGATCTAGGACTTTAGTTTAATAAATCTAGTTCAATAAACGGTATTATTCATAACTCTGCAATATCCCAATTATGATAGTTAATAATAAACTTCTTTAAACTGTTAGAACAATTCATCAACTTAACTCACTATTATTAGATCATATTTGAAATCTTTTAGACAATACTGTAGCCGTGCTACGTTCTTGGCTTCATAAATACCTAATGCATACATAGAATAATAATACTCCGTATTTTAAGATGAAATTTGCTTGGTAGGATCAAGACAATTAGGGGGCTTGTCGACAAAAGCCAACACAAAGTCCTCTATGCAACGTCGGGAATTGTCTCTACCCGTAGTCTTCATCTGACAAATCCGAGCAATTTGAAATCCTACTTCAGTGGCTGTATCGAGAATAAACATATACTCGGTTATATGTTAGCGACTTGAGATATTTGAGATAATTTACCTGGCAGCCGTTGGATGCAGCCCCTGAAGTGCTCCGCCACGCTCCGCTCAACGCTCAACGTTGTCAAGGCCATTGACTAAGTGGATTAGTGTAAACTCCTTAATGTACTTATCATCACGTCTAAATATGTATGTAGTGTATACATTCCAACTCTAATTATTGCCGCGTGTATAGTTTTGTAGGGGCGCAAGAAGTTGGGCTGGGTTGAAAGTTCGTATTCACTGACTTAAAAAAAAATAGAACACGACATGAGTCGGGATGGTACATGTATAAAGGTACCTAATCACACTTTAATGTTGTCTTACTTTTAGAAACCGCGCATGTGCTACCCCGCCTTTGTGCTCTAATACATGACACCCCGTACGAACTACTATATTAGAAGTACCTTATCGTTAATAAGGGGTGCGCTCCATACCGCCAAAACGCCAAAACGCCAACTCTACAGCAGTCAGACAGTTAGACAGTTAGACAAGACCCCTCCATAAATTCTATAACCCCTAAAAGTCACTCACCTTTGTCGTATCAGCCGCCTGTTGTACGCTAAAGATTGAATTTATTGCTGCGCCGAAACCACCCCCCCCTTCTCAAACCCCCCGGCTTGTCCGCGCAGAAGCCCATGAACCAAAACATTGACCTGGTCAACTTCAGATCTTTGACCTTTTCTAATTGATTGATGATCAACCCGACTCAAAAAAAACCCGTCCTAGGTAGAAATTCGACATCATTGCTTCTTCCTCAGCCACCTTTTTTGATTCCTTCTTTCTTCCCCCCTTTTTTTTTTTATTACTTTTTACTTTTAACCTTTTCCTATCTGCCAATCTTTGATCTCCATCAATTATTATTGACCTGTATCGCAACGCCGATAAGGAAACGCCTCTCCCCTTCGATACCTAAATAACTTATCTCCTCTTTTACAACTTGTCGTGTCTCCGACCCTTTTATTGCGCGACCTTCACCGACTTCCTCCTATTCCTCCTACTTGACGCCTATCCTACAAGCCTGTCATAGGGGAACTGTTGGAAAATGTCGTGGAAGCTCACCAAGAGTAAGTATTTGATTACCTGTCATAGTTCTCGAATGGTTTCCTTTCAGCCCAAGGCCTCACTTCTTCGCTTCGGATGCACGACGATCGTATGCGGTTCTGCTAACACGGCGTCCCATCAGAGTTAAAGGATACCCATCTAGGGCCCCTTGCGAACACTTTCTCCCGAAATCCTTCCACGTCAACAATCACGGAAAAGGATGAAAAGAGTCCTATCCCAACATCTGCTACTCCTACTCCCAGTGACAATGCCATCGGTTTGTAACCATGTGTGTATACTATTCTTCGGGGAAAGTAGCTCATACATTCTACCTACAGCTGCCTCGGAACACTTGGTACAAGAACCTGTCGTAAAACCTCCGAAACCCGGTATTCTCGTCGTAACTCTCCACGAGGGTCAGAATTTCGCTCTTCCCGAACAGCATCGAAACGCATTTTCGCAGCATGGCCAGGGCTCCATGTCGACAGGGAATGCCCTTAGCTCTAGTTCCGTGCGACCAGGGTCTTCTCAACGAGCCGTAGCAGGTTCTTACACGAATGGCAGACCCCAAACATCAGCGGGGGGTTTCACTGGCATACCTTCTAACCACGGTCGGATCTCTAGCAAATATCTGCCGTACGCATTGTTGGATTTTGATAAGGTCCAGGTTTTTGTCAACTCGGTCTCCGGTAACCCGGAAAACCCCTTGTGGGCTGGTGATAACACCCAGTACAAGTTTGATGTGTCTCGAGTGACGGAGTTAAATGTACACTTATATATGCGTAATCCTACCGCGCCGCCGGGGTCCGGTCGAAGTCAAGATATCTTCCTAGGAGTCGTCCGAATCAATCCTAGGTTTGAGGAAAAGCGAACCTTCGTCGAGGATCCCAAAGCCAGTAAGAAGGATCGCGAGAAGGCCGCGGCCGAGTTCCATAACCGAGAACGCGAGCTTGGACACACTGGCGTTGATTGGGTCGACGTGCAGTATGGCTCTGGTAGACTCAAGATCGGTGTGGAATATGTTGAGAACCGGGCGGGCAAGCTTAAGATCGAAGACTTCGAGCTACTCAAGGTGGTTGGTAAGGGTAGTTTTGGTAAGGTCATGCAGGTCCGCAAGAAGGATACCAGCCGAATCTACGCGCTCAAGACGATTCGTAAAGCCCACATCATCTCGAGATCCGAAGTCGCCCACACTCTAGCCGAGAGATCTGTGCTGGCACAGATTAACAATCCCTTCATCGTGCCCCTTAAGTTTACCTTCCAATCCCCCGAGAAGCTTTACTTCGTACTAGCTTTCGTCAATGGTGGAGAGCTGTTCCATCATCTTCAGAAGGAGCAGAGATTCGACGTCAACCGGGCACGATTCTACACAGCCGAGCTACTCTGCGCCCTAGAGTGTTTGCACGGATTCAATGTTATCTACCGAGATTTGAAGCCCGAGAACATCCTACTTGATTACCAAGGTCACATCGCGCTTTGCGATTTCGGTCTTTGTAAGCTAGATATGAAGGACGAAGACAGGACTAACACGTTCTGCGGCACCCCCGAATACTTGGCGCCGGAGCTTCTTATGGGCAAGGGATACAACAAGACAGTGGATTGGTGGACTCTAGGAGTTCTCCTCTACGAAATGCTTACGGGTCTCCCGCCATTTTACGACGAAAATACTAATGAGATGTACCGCAAGATTTTGTCGGAGCCCCTACATTTCCCTAGTGCAGACATTGTGCCTCCTGCGGCCAAGGACCTTCTCTCTAAGCTCCTCAACCGCAACCCGGAGGAGCGATTAGGAGCTGCAGGCAGCGCCGAGATTAAGGCCCATCCTTTCTTCCACGCCATCGACTGGCGCAAGCTGTTACAGCGCAAATATGAACCCACGTTCAAGCCCAGCGTTGTAAGTAGCCAATTTTTCACATTGTGTACGCTCTCTCTAATTTCGACCCAGGCCGATGCTCTTGACACAAAGAACTTCGATCCCGAATTTACTTCGGAAGCTCCGCAAGACTCGTATGTCGACGGGCCAGTATTGTCGGAGACGATGCAAAACCAGTTTGCGGGTTTCAGCTACAACCGACCGATCGCGGGACTGGGCGATGCCGGCGGCAGCGTTAAGGACCCGTCGTTCGTTGGCAGTATCCAAGACAGGCGATAAGCACGCGATTGTCTTTTATCGGATACACATCTAGGCCATGGCGATATAACAACATACGCCCGAGTTCATGGGTGGGAGATTGACTAACAAGATGGAAATAGGTAGAGCACAAGTCGGCGTAGTTTGTAACTGGAAACACTGGATGTGACATACACATGTGGTGATGGTGTCCTGCGTTGTGTTGCTGTTGCTGTTGCTGTTGCTGTTGCGATATATTACCGGATTCTGGACCAGCCTAGAAGCACTTTCATATGGAGTTTGGCATGAGTTATTGACGATGCCTCCGAGTTTGCACTTTCTGGGATCTCAAAAGGAGAACAACTCTGTAGATAGACGAGATTGAGGCCGAGGAAAAGACGCCCATTGCCAATACCTTGTCGTATTATTTATTGCCCGGTCCTGTGAGATAAGTCCTATGTCGTTTGTAAGGTCTTTGCAGCTATTGCTAGAGAATGGCCGGATCCTTTATTTTTACCCGAAGCTTACTATTACTCTCGATTGTAAGATCGGCTTGCTCTCTTATTGCCGCAATTGTTGGTACGTGTAAGAGAACTAATTGTAGGTATTTACCTACGTATAGGAACTATGGAAGTAGATACAATTCCTTGTCGGGGTTAACCGACACCTAGGTAACAGCTACGTATGTAGTATATAAGAGGTAGCAAGCTAGGTAGCAAGCAAGACACCGAGTCTCCCGATCCCGTTTCGCGTGGGCTACACGGGATAAAATTTACACACGCCGAATACATCCACTGTTCTGCAGCTTACATAGGTACTTGGTCTAGGTACATCATGCCATAAGCATCACGTCACTAGCGCGGGGTAGGTATAGCACATTAGGTACATTGATGTAGCTTAAGGAAAAGTTGCGCAGTACATGTACCTAACGAGGTACATCTATCAAAGTACAAGCAAAAGAAACATTTTAATGAGAAGCTTCCAGCTTCCAAGAAATATCTAAATGTCGCTCACTCATCCACTTTTAACCCCCACTACTTCTTTTTCTACTTAAATATTTAAGATAACAAACACATACAGAGGTTGATTAACTGTTTATATTGAATATATACGGATATATACGGATTTCTTCCTTATTAACGACTCCACGATCTCGTGAACTTTGATACTCTTCCGATGTAAGTGAAACACAGTTGTGACATAGCTACCTTAGGTACCTAACCCAGCTACTATACGTGTTGCCCCGCCGCCCGCATTACCGCATCACCGCATCACCGCATCACTTCACCCCGCGCCGTAAATCCCGTCGCTATATAATACACGCATACTAACAACGAAACTACTTGACCCAGCTAGCATCATCAGTATACCTTCGTTTCTTCTTCAAGCTTCCGGACAAACTCTCAAGAGAAGATGCCTCAAGCAGTTTCTTTGCCCACCTGGGCCTCCCTAGAAGAGCACTACAAGACCGTTGGCAAGACCTTTGTCTTGAAGGAAGCCTTCGCCTCTGACCCATCCCGTTTCGACAAATTTAGCAAGACCTTCAGCAACGGCGGCACAGATATCCTATTTGATTTCAGCAAGAACCTCATCACTGAAGAGACGATCAATCTACTAGTAAAGCTCGCAGAGGATGCTGGCCTCGAGAAGAAGCGCGATGCTATGTTTGCAGGTGAGAAGATCAACTTCACCGAGAAACGAGCTGTCTACCATACGGCATTGCGGAACGTGAGCGGCTGGGAGATGAAGGTGGAAGGACAAGATGTCATGGGCGGCGTAAATGAGGTCTTGCAGCACATGAAGGAATTCTCCGAGCAGGTCAGGAGCGGGGAGTGGAAGGGATTCACTGGAAAGAAGCTAACTAATATCGTCAACATCGGCATTGGCGGTTCTGACCTGTAAGTATAACCCTTGCGCTGTTCGTGGTCGCGAGCTTCCTCCACGGACTCCTCCACGGACGTGTATCACACTCTTCTAACAGCGTATTAGGGGACCTGTTATGGTTACCGAAGCTCTAAAGCACTATGGTGCTAAGGACATGACCCTGCACTTTGTTTCCAATATCGACGGCACCCACATAGCTGAAGCCCTTGCTAACTCCGACCCTGAGACAACTCTCTTCCTTATCGCCTCCAAGACTTTTACCACCGCCGAGACTATCACGAACGCGAACACCGCAAAATCGTGGTTCCTCGAGAAGACCGGCGGCAAGGGCGAAATTGCCAAGCACTTCGTCGCCCTATCTACCAACGAGGCTGAAGTCACCAAATTCGGTATCGACAGCAAGAACATGTTTGGCTTTGAGAACTGGGTCGGTGGTCGATATTCAGTCTGGAGTGCCATTGGCCTTAGCGTCGCCCTATATGTCGGCTACGACAACTTCTACAAGTTCTTGTCTGGAGCGCACGCAATGGACAAGCACTTCCGTGAAACCCCTCTCAAGGACAATATTCCCGTCCTCGGTGGTCTATTGAGCGTTTGGTACAGCGACTTCTTTGCCGCCCAAACACATCTGGTTGCTCCGTAAGTCCCACAAGCCAAGTATCTTCAAATTTCATTCACTAGTTCGCTAACAACAATATAGCTTTGACCAATACTTGCACCGCTTCCCTGCATACCTGCAGCAACTTTCTATGGAATCAAACGGCAAGACCATCACCTCGGACGGCTCGCCTGCCAAGTATACCACTGGTCCCGTCCTCTTTGGTGAACCTTGCACCAACGCCCAACACTCATTCTTCCAACTCGTCCACCAAGGTACCAAGTTGATTCCCACCGACTTCATCCTCGCCGCCAAGTCCCACAACCCCATCTCCAACAACCTACACCAGAAGATGCTGGCATCCAACTACTTTGCGCAGGCTGAGGCTCTCATGATCGGTAAGACACCCGAGCAGGTCAAGAGCGAAGGTACACCTGATGAGCTTGTACCTCATAAGGTCTTCCTGGGCAACCGGCCCACTACAAGCATCTTGGTGGGCGGTGTAATTGGACCTGCGGAATTAGGTGCTCTCATTGCTTATTATGAGCACCTAACCTTCACTGAAGGAGCAATCTGGGACATCAACTCGTTCGACCAGTGGGGTGTCGAGCTGGGCAAGGTTCTCGCCAAGAAGATTCTCGAGGAGTTGGACGAGCCTGGTAACGTCGAAGGTCGTCACGATGCTAGCACGGGCAGCCTCATCGGCGCGTTCAAGAAGTTCGCGAGCGCTTGAAGGTCAGAGCCGACTTGGAGGCATGAGAAAGAATCTAGGCTCTGAGTCATTATCAGCAGGCGGTACGACGTGTTCAGGTAATACGCTGGGGTGGGTCTCAGACTATCTCGTCCGAGTTGCTAGGAAAGTGACATAAGTCATTACAAGTAATAGACAAATATCAAATATGAAATCCATTAAAAACGTGAAACTCAAAGTGTTTGCGATGAGCCTACCATGGCTAAACCTTTCAAGAATATTGTTAAGTAATTAAGTATCAATGTGCTCTAAAATAGGGGTTGTTGGATGATAATAAGAATCTCAACCAAGTAGCTGTCGAATATCAGTATCAGAGCCATACCGCAGTTACTCACTTATATGCCTAATTACCGAGGGCAGTCCATTGTATGCTCATAGAATTAATCAGGCGGGCTCTTGAAGGTAATTCAGAAGCTTCACAATTATTCGTACGGGATGGTTCAAAAGAGCCACGGAAGGAGAAAATATTAAGTACCTAAGGCACATAAGTAAAACTTCAAAGTCTTATCAGATCACCTTGTCAGAATATAACAGGGCTACCCCGTATGATAGCCGCCAGATACCAGGTATACATGAAGAAGCTATGCCTCCCCCCTATTCTTGGGAAGGCATGGGTCAATACAGTCACCAATACACCACTAAACTAGGTAGTAGCTAGACCCTTCCTCTCCCTCCATGATACACGATATTCTTACACACCTACATATAACAAGCTTATAGTAATACTGGAAAGATAATATCTGCTTAGTAAGTAGCCATGCTCCAGACTTGATTCCCCTTAGGAGTTTTATAAGCCAGTTTTAATAACTTGACTTGGCTCTGACAAGTTACCTAGTGCCTATATGATCTTGAAAAGTATATACCTAATATAATTACTTACTTGAGAACAGAGTAAGTAAGCCCTAAGCTGATGAGTAATAGCTACCACTGAAGATAATTTAGTAACCAGCGCGGTAGTTCCTAGATATTGAATCCTCGTATGTTTAGCTGGAATTTCTCCCATCAAGTTATATTTTTAGATTTACCACGATCTGTACCGTTGTCAGTAATGGTGTAGCGAGAGTAACTGTGGTAGTAATAACACCCTAAGCCTCACATCTGTACCCGCAATGTTATTCTTAATTTAACTACCACCCTCTTCTATCCCGTTTGGTGTTATGGCTAGGGGGTGCCAAGACTTGTTTAAATACAATTCTTCAATGTTGATTCTACAAATGGGATCTTTATTGGAGACAATAATTATGGTTGACTTGACGTGGCATAAAACGTTCATCTTGCCGGCCTGTTGTATCGTAAATCTACTATAATAATCGCCAATGCCGTAATTTTAATTTATTTCCCTAGATATCTGACCCTCTTTCCGGGTCAACGTGCCAACCTTTATAAGGTACGGACATAGGTACCTAACCAGTAGTAAATATAGCAAGGCCCTTCGATCCATCAGATGCTACTATTTAGAAGGGATTATCTCCAACCGACGAAGGCTCAAATGAAGACAAGAATCACTCCGGAATTGCCACAGTTATTATTATTGTTGATGAAGATGGACCTCCCGGATGGTGGATCGGTAGCATGGCTTCAAGTACTCAATTCTTTTACCCTTTAATTCAATAATTAGTGTGCAAATATATGCGAGACTTTTAATCATTTCTACAACAGTTAACAAACCCCAATCCAGGTGCACGATCAATACGCTTGGTGTATTTCAAATTTCCTACGAGAACGAGCTACTCCGGCATATGCCACCTTTAGACATATCATGGATCAGGATACTTCAACCTGTCTTGCTTTTGGCAGTTGGAGTGGTGAGTGGTCTACTATATGATTCTGGATACCTTCCATTTCCCCTTGTCTCCGGATCGGTTATGAAGACTCTCGGTATGATGTCAACCAATATCTGTAGGGAATATGGGCAAGTGATGTTTATACAGGCTCTATGCGTCGGTGTAGGTGAATAATTTCTATTTATTTCATCCGTAATTATCACCCTAGAATACTTTTACAAACGTAAGCCTCTTTCATGGGTGCTGTATCTATTTATTTAGTATTGGTCTAAGCTACATAGCATTCTATTCGTCTATCTTTTACCTAAGAGTATACACCCTGTTACACGGCCTAGAAGTCCAGACTGTTGCTTTATATCTTGTTGCCATACTTAACACTGCATTAGTCTTGAGCAGGTTAATATTGTGTCTCATAGCAAATCACATTGGCGATATCCATATGATCTTCCTCGGCATAGCTTTCTCTTGTGTAATGGTGTTTGCTTGGATCAATACCGACTTTGGGGCAGGGTATATTGTCTTTGCTGTATTCTATGGCTTCTTTACTGGTGTAGTCGTAGCCTTACCAGCTATTGTGCTCACTTCGTTCACCACTGACTTCTGCTTGGGAACTGGACTGGGAATGCCGTCGACGTTGAACGGTGGGGCTTCATTGATTGGGACACCGATTGCTGGGGGCATATTAAACGCTACATAGAGTTACGCTTGGACAGGAAGGACTATGTGGTGACTTTTTCTTCATGGGGATAGCTGTGTTTATTGGGACTCTACGCATTGTTTTCACAGGGAAGCAACTGGTTGTGAAGGCTTAGGACGTAGATAATATTATTTATCCCTCCCATTTTTATTAGCTTCGTAACCTTTGTGCTCCTTCTTCTTGTAGGATGGGCTTAACTTCCCATGTGAGCATGAACAGACCACGAACAGACCATGGCAGACCCACGAAAGTGACTAGCAATGTATTATTTCACCTTAGGAATCGAGGAAAGAGCATTGTTTTGTATGATCTTGTACCAATAGAATCCAAGTGCTGACAGAAAGAACCGCCTCCTGCACTACAACTGGTAGTATCCCAGCAGCCAGTCCCTTCCTCCCATTCAAGTGCTCCTCGCGTACAACTTCCTCTACAGTCCAGCCTCTTTCCCTAACCTCTTTCCTCTTCTAACCTCTTGCCCTATTAAATCCAGTCTTGCCCTTGTGAAAAAATCTTCACTCTCCTTCTAAGTTTCCTCACAAGGTAACACCATAGTAGGTGACCTACCTACCTAACCTAAGCACCTTCTTAACATTCTTCTCGAGGGCATCATCACCAAAAGTTATGGAAGCTACAACTCCTCTTGAGTTGTTGACACCAAGGGCACATGGGTATTTTCTACACATCAAATCCTTCCATCACTTTATTTATTTATTTATTTTATTCTAACCCCATAACCTAACACACACACACACACACACACACACACATCAAATACTGTGCTGCTACTGCCTCACATTTACATTACCTCCTACCTTCGCGAACTCTTAACACAAAAATTTCATCACCTCCTGCCTCACCTACCGTTTAACCTAACCTAACCTGGTAAAGCATACCCATACTACCTCCTGCCTTTAAGTCCTCTGGACATTCACTACTTTATTATCCTACCTCCTGCCTTATTGCGGGTATATACTTTCCCTCTATCCCGAAACGGGAAGTTAGCCTATTCACTCACCACTAGAGCCGTTGCCTCCGGAGCCGTAAAGCGGCTCCTTCTACATTTGACGGCAGTAACGCCCTTGCAACTATTCTTGCCTAACAGGTATGTGTATTCCTATATAAACAAGTCGCCGCCCCTCGCCCTCCCTCACCTTTGCGTGAACCTGAACTTCTTGTCACTCATATTTCTTACACCAACCTTCCCTCTTGCATGAACCTCCACCCTCTTACATCAACCTCCACCCTCTTACATCAACCTCGCCGGCCTTACACACATTACTCACATCCATTGCAGCACTACTTTAATATCCCTTTCAACATACGAACCCTAAATTACTAACATGGGACGACCACGCAAAAATCGTGGTGCCTGCGACCGGGTCTCTGAGGGCGACGACAATGTCGTCGAACCCTGGAGGCTCAGGTTCAAGAATGAGTTTGATGACGACGATGAGGACGTTAAAGTCTTCATGAAGCAGGAGGATGAAAATGCCGGGGCCAATGCCGGAGCTAATATCCAGGCCAACATTGAGGCTGGTGCAGATGGAGGTAATAATAACCCCATCATAATTGAGGACGACCTCCATCGAGGCGACCCTAATAGCAACCACAATAACGGCCACGGTTTGGGGGCACAAGACCCACTACCGGTCAATAAGGAAGTAGCTGATGAGGAGCTTGAACGTATTGTGATGGCTATTGACGAGCGACATTGCGACAAATATAAGTGGTTCATAGAACGCTATATACGTCAGATCCACGAGCCTCACGAAATCTTATCAAAGCAGCTCTACTATCGACGTGTCATGGTAAAGCACAAGACAATCCAGATCCGAGCTGACCCTAAAGGCAGAGAGAGATGGGTTGTGAAAGGAAGTAAGTAACATCAAGAATTCCTTCATCTTCATTTTTATCTTGCGTCAGGAACTAGCACATCCTTATAAAAATACATGATTGCTAACTTTGTCCACCATAGTGCGACCGAGTGCTTGCAAAAGACTCGACTTTGAAGCTACGCGAGCTCACTTCACGGCTCGTACTACAGCTCGCTCATTAGAGTGGTCAGCCCATAAAAAGCGGGTGCCTGCCGACCGACTCAGTGCTATCCTTGCAGAAGTAACTACAGCTTACGGCTGGCCCGAGATAGTCACGGTCGATATTGTGGATCATATTCTCACTACAGATGACATTCGTGACATAAACGCCTACGACGGACATCAGGGCCTTACTATTGGCGCCTTCCCTCCTCCTAACCGGGTCTCTGCTGAGTCGGACTTGGATGATATTTACGATGCTGAGCCTGCAGTAATTGGCAGCCGAGAGCCGCAAGTTTCTCAGCGCAGTGTCTTACAGCCGTCTTCATCCCTTAGCTCCACCCTGTTCCCGGGGAACCCTCGTCCTTCAGCCTCCTTACTCTCCTGGCCCGAAAGATCCTTATATAAGAGGGTTCATCAGAATGATAACCAGGAGGAGCACGGTGAAAAGAGGCAGCGACTAGATGATGAGCGTGAGGGTTGCTCACAAGATAGCCAACGCCAGGATGAGAAAAAGGTGCGGCTTGAGGCCCTACATCAAGAATTCACGAAGAAAATGATGGAAATCTCTAACACCTATCATCGTCGCCGACTAGAGATTGAGATGGAATATGAGACTAGAGAATCTTAACAACATGGAATCCTTATCCTCTATATTAAGGTATATCCAGCGTGAGCGCTTGAGCTTAATTTCGCTTGGCCTCTTTCATCTTCATGGCACACTTCTTTCACTTCAAACACTAGTCTAAAAGGGGACCTCTTCTACCAACGATGGAAATTCAATGGGGTTAAAGTTGTGAGATTTGTTCGATGAGATGAGGCACGGATAGGTGCAGATATAAAGAGGTCTCATTTATAAGAGGCCGAGGAAGGTTATGGGTTGCGATGACTTTTGATGCGATGACTTTATAGCAGATATAAGAATCTCACACTTATTGTGAGATCTTAGTCTCCTTAAGAGACTTTTTTTGTAACCAAAAACACAAAAACCGAATAATCAAAAACCAAAATTCATAATAACTTTTTTTTAAATTGTTTCTTTACTATGTGTGAATTGCTGGGTTATTATAGATCTACCTTATAAATTGAAGGGGTATTTAGAAGTATCCTTTTCGTCTAATCGCAGTTATTGACAGATATCGTGACTTGGCACAATTGAATTCTCCTGAATTCCTCGGTGGAGCATTCAATTGCTTTGAGAATTTCGGGATAAATCGGCCCCACAGTGGATCGGACCAGGTCGGCAGAGGCCGTCCCATGTCCGAAAATGATCAGAAAGCGGTAAGATTTATCTCGAGCAGCAGCGCAACACCAGGAACAGCAGCATACCCAAGCACGTTATCCGGCTGAAAGAAGCATAAAAAAAAGTGAAATTATCGTGGCAGTGCTCTGGGACATGTAATAATTTATCGGTCCTTTTTATGGCCTGACAAGTTCAAAGTTACAGCTTATCCGTTTCGTCGGGGTATAATGCAGCGAGTTAGCATGAGATAGGAAGCCCTAGAGAAATAACTCCGTTTCCTTCATAATCGGGCCGCTAAGGCCGGAAGAAATCGAGATCGAGCCAAGCGGAAGAAGTTAAAAGCTCACAATCAATTATTGCACGAGCAAGACTAGGGAGGCCTTGAATATCCCTTGTGAAACGAGAGGTGGCAATTTAGGAGCAATGCCGGGTGTCGTTAGGGCTGGCTCGGAATCATACACAGTGTCTGGGAGGTATCGTGTGTTTTCATCCCGAGTGTTGTGGATCATCTTATTCCGAATAATCAGCGGTAGTGACTATCGTGAGAACACATAGCCTTGCCGATGCCGAGAGCAAGCAGGTTACCCAATAGGCTGGTATGAAAATGGTGGTATCTCAAGAATGGGTCACAGGTACCCCATCCAAGAGATATGTAATAAGTGGGCGGATCTTAAGACTGGATGAACAACCGTTAACTACACGTGTAACTAGAGGCATGAGAGAAAGTGGAGGCTGTTCTATGTATGTAGGTATGTAAGTAACCTAGTCGCTTGACCATAATGTTTCTTATGTAATGTAGATACATGCCGTTTTTAGTTGGATCACGATGTTACTGGGGACTGGCTAGCGGCATCGAGATCTATGCTTGTGCAGGAGTGTTTGCTAAATAGCCAGATAACAGGTAGGTAGTAGACCGGTTATGCATGTCGAAAGGAAAGATAGGATAGCGCAGCAAACGCCTTTAGATACGAGGCACTGCTTTTGTTTGCTTGGATTTGTCCATGTCAGTCCGATACTTATGTAAGTGCCCGGTAAAGGTAGAGTGCTTAAGTGCCACGTGAAACCCGGGGAAGGCCATCGAAGTGGTATTCGAGCTTATCTGATACTGGGTTGATCCAAGTCGACTCGTTATATTTTGAGAGATCGACGTATCAAGCCTTGCAAGGCTGCCAGGACGCCATTGAGCGACAGGAGAAGTGCTGAATTATTGGTGGAAGACGGCCTACTGCTCCGAACCAGTTCAATTCTCGGCCGTGGAACCCGAGGATAGATACATAGGTACCTGTATGTAGAGTCCGTTGCGCGCTAGTTGAAACCCCGCAGTGATCTACCTATGACTTCCAGTGAATAGTTAGCGGAGTTTCGCAATACTTAACGCGTATCAAACATCGACCACGAGGAAGCAAAAGGCCTAAAAGGTTCCTGTCGGAGAATTCAATGGAGGGAGCCACTCGGGTACGTAATCATGGAGTGAAATGACCCAAGAATCGATCGGATGCAACCCTAAGCATGGCCTTGGGACCTTGGGGACTTGGGGACTTTGGGTCCCTCTTTTGGCGACGATGTTTAAGAAGCGCAATCTGTTCGCCTTTAGGGGTTTTGAGCGGTTTTTAGCGCAATCCCCATTCGCCATTGACTGTGCTAGCGGAATCGTTTGGGCTGCCCTATGAGATCATCGACTAGGATTAGGAGGGGCTTTGACTTCCAGAGGGGGAGAAGTCGCCCTTGGCCTTTTGGTTGGATTGTCCGGGTAAAGAACCTTGTTTCCTTTTTCCCCCTTAAGGTTTATTATACGTCTTAAACGGTTAAAATGTCTACGGGCCGTATATGTTTTCCCTTTTAGGAAGTCCGCGTCGTACAACGGGTTGTGTGTGAGGTCATAGGTAGGTATAGGGATCTTTCCCGACCACTAGATCTAGACACGTTCCATACCTTAAAGACCCTCAAAAACTAAGTAGTGCTGATTCGTCAGTAAGATGGCTGACTAAACCGATTCTTCTATAATCTTCCTCACAGGCTCATATCTGAACTCTCTTTATATATTATTAAACTGCGTCTGAAGAGTGTGTGTGGGGCTTTACGGTATCACGATAATAAAGAAGCGCCGAGGGACACACCACCTACTTTCGTAGCCGACCACATTCTCATTAACAGTGCTGCAGTCCGCTCGGCATCTCTACCACTCCGCCTATTGGCGATAATGGGCGGTGATAAAAAAGCTGCAGGGACTAGGGCTACCTTGCTTCAGATAGCCTTGTGTGTAAGTGGCCAGTGGTCTACAATGGTATGCCAAGCGCTTAGCAGATATCAAATCAGATCTAGGGCTGCTGGGCGGGGGGGAGGCTAGAGAGGACTGGGCAAGGCCACGACTCCCCCAGACTTTGGCACGTTGCATATGCCTTTTTGTTATCCAGGGACCAGGGACCATGTAGGTTCATATACATAGTATATTCATTCTCCTTGCAGTTATGATTTCATCAATCTTCGCGTCTAGTCCAGCTTATCGGGTATCTAACAAAACGCTTATGGTGGGTTGTAGACGTGTCTTACAGGTTCTATAGACGCCTTGTCTCGAGTCCTCCTGGCGATCCTGAGTTATACTAAAGGGCTTGACGGATCAATGTTAAGCACGGAATCGCTAGCGAGCTTTCAGGGATGTGGCGGATGAAGCCCAATGACGATATTAAAAGGGACAAGAATTGACTATGTAGGTAGCCTACATGGAACTATTCGGGATATACAGTGTCATTTAAAGCTTGGCACGGAGAGTAAGAACATAATGCTTGATACTGTCTCGTTTACTGACAAAACGTTGGGACTTGAAGGGACCAATAGTAAGAAGCATTGTCAAATGGTAAAATATAGTTGGATCATACGATGGCCATGAGCATGATAAGTGTTTTTCCAAACTACTTTTAACAGCGCGAGACATAAAATTTTCTAGCGCATGTACTTACTTTAAGTTCTAATAAAAGAATATGGTGTTGTCAGACTTCGAATTCGATAGAACATTACCGCGTCGTGACGAAGTGGCACTGGCAAATTACAAGTCATAAGAGGAGGCGTTGTAATCAAGTATAGGTAGGCAACCACTTCGGCGGCAGATACTTATTATGCTTATGAGCTGCTTGATGTTGATATGTTCTCGAGTCATTTAGGAATTGGGCTTGTCTTACACAAAGTTGAGTGGTTTTTTTTTTTTTCAATTCAATTTAAGCTGTCCATAGGTAGGGTGGTAGATATCAAAAACTGTGTAATACATATGATCGTCAGTCGGTTGAGCGAGAGATATTCGATGCTGAGAGTCACTTTTGATGCTTAGGTGTTACCTATTGGAGTTGTAATTGTTGTACCTATTGCAGTCAAACGCCCACCGTCAAAAACACGATACGTTAAAGTGGGTCGGAAATAAACTGGGGATTACCGGCTGTGCAGGGTACGTAATGCCGTAATGCCGTAATGCCGTCAGCAAAGCCAACAAAACGGTGGACCCCCTTGGAGTACAGTACGATACAGTCCGCTATTCATTCCTGCCGTGACGCTACACAGCACCCCTCCACTTCCGGTCGAATTGTTCGGGGCTCGTGGGGCTTGTGGGTTTGGTCCAGTTACCTACCTCTCGCTCCTTCCTCGTCACTACCTATTTCCAACCTCTTGCACTTGCACATAAGAACATCAACTTTTCCCTTTCCCAATTCTTCTTTTTTCCTTCCTTCTTTTCAACAAACCTAATTGTACCACTTCTACTTCAGTGTTTCTGAAACTTTAGAAGCACAACGTACCTCACAAATTCTACCACCCTATTACTCTCACTTACAACATCACCTCCTTCTATCACCTCTACCTACACCAATTCACAATGGGTAAGAAGGCAGTCCACTTCGGCTCCGGCAACATTGGCCGAGGCTTTGTCGCATGTTTCCTACATGAGTCAGGCTACGAGGTCGTCTTCGCCGACGTTGTCGACAAGCTCGTAGACGCCCTAAATTCGACACCTTCGTACAAGGTCATCGAGCGTGGTGTTGAGGGCACAGATGTCAAGACAATCACCAACTACCGAGCCATCAACTCCAAGCACAACGAGGCTGAGCTTGTTGACGAGATTGCAACCGCCGACGTTGTCACCTGCTCTGTCGGCCCCAACATCCTCAAGTTCATCGCCCCCGTCATTGCCAAGGGTGTCGACAAGCGCTCGAATGAACTCAAGCCTCTGGCCGTCATTGCTTGCGAGAACATGATCGGTGCCACAGACGCCCTCGCTGGCCACATCATGGACCCCAAGAACACTCCCGAGCACCGCCTCGAAGACCACCACGAGCGAGCTGCCTATGCCAACTCTGCGATCGACCGTATCGTTCCTGCCCAAGATCCCAACGCCGGCTTGGATG